ATTGATTTAAATATCGCAACACACACACACACATACATCTCTGTCTGCACTGCAGCGCTCCGTTGTCCTGTGGGCCTTGGGGAAATCAGAGGCTCTCTGAGTACGACAAGAGCCTCGATTGTCTTTGTGAAATGTTCAAGTCTTGCCCTAAAATAGGAGCTGTCTAAGTGTGTGTATAAGATCTGTGTGGCTGTGCATCCCTGCCATGTCTATAAAGCTGGAAAGCCTTGGCCTTCACCCATGGGGTTACGCATCTTGAAGGCCGCTATTATTCTTCTATCATTTGGCTTTTTGTCATCATTACACGTCACTCTTTGCCTCTCTTTCCCTAGTGGCCTCAGCCTTCATTCTTTGCCTGTCTCTCTATATACATGCAATGCCCGTTTCCCTCCACACCATCCTCCACTGTTGCTCCCTGGAAGTGAGGTATTTTATGGGTTGTTTGTAAAAGCACAGAAGCATAACCCCCCCACCTCCCCTTTCCTCCTGTCTGCCTTCTGCGGCCCACTGGGAATCGTTTGAGGGCAGCTTTTTCCTTCTTTGCCACTCTTCTGTTACATGATTTAGAAGCTTTATGATGCATGTGTGCGTGTGAGTGCATACACACACACTAGACTCCCCAGAGCGCTTAATCGCTTCTTTTCTCCTGCTATTTTTCATCTTCTCACCCAGAAACCTTCGAAAAAGCCTCTTCACACACAGCAGCACAAACACTTACTAAATGCACATTTAATACAGAATGCCTCACAATTTTTTTTTTCCCCACAGACACAAGGGCTCCCTGTACATCCCTGTTCCCGAACACCGCATTGGTTTCCCCTCCATTATCCTGCGATTGGACAGTTTATGTTGCAGGAGGCGAGAGAAATGGAGGGTGATGGAGAACTAGCTGCGGCATTTATTTTCCATGTTCTGCACATATGCACACACACAAAAAAAAAAAGCAGAACTCGATTACTTACATATGGAAAGAAACATGCAAATAAATACAGGCACAAGCAACCACACCAGGAAAAAGGCAGAAGATATGTTTGTTTTCAGGTCTATTAATATGCATATGAAAAGAGAGACAGCAGTATATTCTGCAGCCTCTCCTAGACACAGCCAATTACTGCACGGAAAGCTCTCTGTCGTTTATCAGAGCTTCACACCTGCAGTAAACACGCTGAGCTCTGGTTTGTATTATCTCATTATAAACTGTATAGCATGTGGAGAAAATGCATCCACTGCTACACTTGTTTGCACATTAGGGCTGGCTGAAATCAATGTATTTTTACAATACAGTTTAATGTCACAGAGTTATCCAGTAACACGACTTGTTTAAAAGAGGACAACGGGACAAAACAGCATGCGATGAATCTCTGTTAATGTATGCATTCATTTCGGACCTTAATTCTAACAGCCGTAGTTTAGATGTGTTTTTTATATAAAGATTTAAATTGTAAGGTGTCAAAGGATTGGCATGACATATAGACAACGTGTGTGCAATTTTAAGACCCACTCGCAGTGCAGCTTAAGTTGCAAGAGAGTGTTCTCCCGAGCCAGATTACTACATATCAGATTTAATTTAGCCCCGAACAATAACGTGTGACAGTTATTATTAATGATTTTCTTCAGAACATAAAGCCCTCGTCTTTATCCTCACTTGCCCACAGGAATGTTTTGAATGGACTTTACCCCTCTGTCTGTGTTTCCATGATAAGTGCTCTCTCAGCACTCTCCCACATCATTGCGCCGTCTGACATATTTAATGAGTCTCTGGAGCAGGGAGCACCATTGACTCTCTGAGACCTGCTTTTTTAGTACAGGTTGTTTCAGATAAGGCGTTTGCATCAAATACGATAAAAGTATTTTATTTATATCCCTGACAAAGTAGTCATATAATTCTACTTTTCTGATCATGCTTTAACTTTGATTCCAACATCTTGGCGGCTCATTTCACTAAGAGTTCATAATAACCCAGTTTGATTTGTAGCTTTCTGCTTCTACTGCAAACAACATTGTGCTGTTTGGATTCTATTGCAGGGGTGTCATCAGGGGCATAGTCCCCCCTAAAATGTTATGTCCACAACAGGTTGTACCCAAAAATCTTCAACTAGGGTTTTGGTTATCTGCCCAGTCAGAGGCAGGATTTAATTTCAAGTCCACTAATGGATGAAATAGTTTGACCCCTGTTCTCTTGTTTCCTATAATGTAAACACAGTTCTTGTAAAGCAATGGGCATGCAATGTTTCAAATGATGTCAACTAGGTTTTCTTAGCCATCTTATCATCTGTAACATTTCGTTTAATCCTTGCGTTTATGTCCATTATCCATTATTTTCATTAAAAAGAATATTACTTCCTGTGTACAAACCTAATTAAAGCATGTTGTTTTGCATTTCTTTTATGACAGACATTTCATTATTTGTAATAGTGTAGAAGTAGAAGTTGTGTCTAAGGCTGTGGTTATGGTTGTGGTATTATCATATAAATGATCATTAATAACCATCATATATTCGGTTTTGCTGACTAACGGAAGAAACGTTTGCCCTTGAACACATTCCTATTGTTGAGTCCTTTAAAGTTATTGACTCGGTAGGCCAAGTTCTCACTTGCGGTCGGTCAATTATCTTAATAAATAGGATATTTGTTATTTCAACATCATTTATTTGAACAAGGACGACTCTTGTTCAATTTGAAGACATTTTATTGACTAAACTATAATCCATCCATCCGTTATCTATACCGCTTATCCCGTTTGGAGGGCTTGAGCCGATTCCCAGCTGTCATTGGGCGAGAGGCTGGGTACACCCATGGACTGGTCGCCAGTAGGGCTGACATAGAGAGAAAGACAACCAGCCACACTCACATTCACACTACAGGCAATTTAGATTCACCGGTTAACCAAAGAACATGTCTTTGGACTGTGGAGGAGCCAGAGTACCTGGAGGGAACCCACGCATGCACTGGGGTGGACATGCAAACTCCACAATGAAAGGCCCCTGCCTCGCAAAGAATTCAAAATTCAATGTACCTTCTTTCTGTGAGGCAACAGCGCTCACCAAAGCAGCACTCTGCATCCTCCTAAACTTTAATAAAAATGAAAACATTATTCAGATCAATTAATAATGAATCATTAGTTGCAGGCCAAGTTTCTCCAAGAGGTCGGTCATACTTTGGGGTTTCTATGTTCAGTGTTTCCCTCCCAGGATCTTCCTCTTTTTGCTTGGCTCCGTCTGACCATCTCAGGCCATCTGGACCGATCACAGTGTGCTGTGTAGGAACCCACAGTCGTGCCAGAACTCTCTCTAAAAGCACATGTCGGCAGTGCAGAGACCTCTATTGGCAGGGGGAGCAAAATAGAGCATGATAGTCAAAATGGTCAAAGACCAGAGGGCAAAGAGGGAGAGAGGAGCAAGAGCAAGAAAGGGAGGAGACACTATAGGGTCTGTTGCCTGGCAACGAAACATCATTCAGTGCATTGGGGGGATAAAAAGAGACGTGAGGAGGAATAGATTGAAGAGGGTTTTGTAGATGTATACAGGAAATCACTCAGAGTCGCATGATACCAGCAAAAAACGTGACTCCATTCTAGTGTTGAGATACTGATATCACATTAAACATGATTGTAGATATCCATAGAAAAGATTTAACATATGTTAAATATCCTACAATGAATCAGTCAAATTTAGTCAAAACAGGTATGAATAATTATTACTGTCATGAAAATCTCAATCAGGGTCCAACAATAAGAAAGATCTGCAGCTGACAGGCATGTAGCATGAACACAAAAGTGACTGCAAACAGGATAACATACAGTTCAAATAAAAAATATAAAAACTGTGGATTAAATCTGTGGTGTACATTGACATGTCACCGTAAATCGAGTGTAGAAAAGTTGACATATGTGTGAAGTACGCGTTCGAAAAGTTAGTTTCACATTGTCATGATGATGGAGAGTTAGCCTGATATTAGTTGACTGTTAAAATTAAACTTCAGTCAGTTAGTTATAAACATATCTTAGCATGAAGACTGGAAACAAGTGCATGCAGCTAGATTTGCTTTTGGAGGTTTGTTGACAGCATTTTGCTACTGATTCAGTTACCTAGACTTGAGTACTGGCTTTTTCTGGGACACAAGCTTGACTTTTAAAATACACGTTTGCTGGGTAAACACTGATTGCTGACATTGTGTTAGCCTTGGTCAAGATAGCACTCTCTGAAAACACTGCCATGTTGTTGTTTGTTACTGTCACTTGATAGTTAAGGCTTACCTGAAACCTGTTGAAATCCGTGGTTGAAGGGGAGAGTTTTAGGCATTATCTGTAGCCGAAACCAACACCGGTATAGTTCAAGGGAAGACACTACTTACTTTGTCCAAACAAGGTTCAGGTGTTTGAACCATATGGAACAACAATGGAGTGCTGAGGTTACAAAAGGGCTTCAGTATCGCCTATCTCATAAAACTCTCGGCAAAGCCAGTAAGCACACAAGGTTGACCTATACATCGAACCTATTGTAGGAGTTGTTTGTACTTACAAAGGATACGGCCTCTTCACCCCTGTCCTCCCTTGTGTCGCTCACTCTCCCACTAGCATTAACTGTCCCATTTTTCTCACATAATGCCTTCTCTGCAACACCAGGTGAGTCAGCAAGAGACAGATAATTGGGGGTGATAAGTGGAGGGTGGCTGTTGCGAGAATGGAAAGGAAAATCAAGCATAAAAAACGTTTTTATAGCGAATGAAGATGGAGAAACTACTGCAAAGACTTGAGTCATTATTGACGATTAAAGAACTGTAGAGATGAGTCTGCACAGCTGAAGGGGGGTGCTGCTGTGGGTAGACTTTTGTAGTCGGACTCATGCTGCTGTTGTCACACGGAGGTGATGTGTCTGCCGCGGTTCCTCTTTTGCCAGCTCAGATGTATTTATGACCTGCTTATTACTGTCTGCCACAAGTCATGGTCTGTCAGGTTCCTAATATTAAACATGTCTGTCTGTCTGTCTGTCTCCCTCTCAGCTAATTTCCAGTGACGCAGATGGGGCCATCCAGAGGGCAGGGCGCTTCAGGGTGGAGAATGGCTCTACAGATGAGGTTAAGAATACACTTTTGTGCACAAATGCATCCCACTCGTTCACTCATCATATGATGCTTCCACAAACCTCAGGAAATGAACAATATAATAAAAAGTATTTTTTCTTATTATGAAGACAGCAATGTCCTTTGTATGGAAAATTGCTAAATACTGTTACTTACACTAACAATTTGATGAGAGAATTCACATTACTCTCCTCTAAATATAAAAGTAGCCTTTAAAACCAGGAGAGGATTAGGTTAAATATATATCAAGATTAGATATAATTCAAACAAGAAAGTGAGATAACAGCCACATGTCCTGCTTATTGAATACTTTTAACTGTGTTTTACAGTATACTGTAATAAAAAAAATACAGGTTAAGTGCACTGATTTTACAACTTGGAGTAATTAAGGATGTTGTGTTAGTTTGTCAAAAGAGCCTCTTTCAAAGCTCCATTTTTTAACAAAGAAACAATTCTCTAGGAATGTTTACATCATGATGTAAGATTAAAGTGCTGCTGACCTTATGGTAAGTTTTCACTCTCTCTGTCCTTAATTTCCGACTCTATCCACTGTCCTGTCTCTGCTACAAATGCATATAAAGCCCCAAAAAAAAAAACTGACAGTCTCTCACTTCACCTTGGATTAGCTGTGCTGTTGTTCTACCCTGTGTTGTAATTAGTAATGGTGCAGTGTAACAGTTTTTCACAGAGGAGACTGCTTTGACTCAAGCTGTGACCATCATGATGACAATGTGTTCTTTGTGTCTATGTGTGTCTCTGTGTATGTATGCATGTGTGTGTGACAAACAGACTTTGGACTACACTCCGGGAACCTGGAGGAGAACTGACGTCCACCTGGAGAATCCAGAGTACCACACCAGATGGTTCTTTAAATACTTCCTGGGAAAAGGTCAGTCCTTCTCTGCTGTGTTCGCTGTTTTCTAAGTAAGAGCCACTCACACGTATGGAGTAAGTGTGAGAGTGAAGAAGGAGAGAATAAGAAAGGGGTGAGGAAGGTGAGGAAAAAGCTGACTCTCAGTAGCTGCAGACGTATATATGTCGTCCCCATAGTCCACAGGAAGCTTCTCATCTTATGGAGTTAGCCTTGTCCGCAATGCTGCACCTACTCCTCATTCAAAACTTGTTAGCATCCAGCCCTATTCCCACAGAGAGACTCAACTACACTCTAACCCCACGCACCACCCATGGATGAAGTCCATAGAGGAGCCACAAGGCAGCGCAAAGGCTTTCCTGCAGGAGATAACACAATTAAGATCGGATTGCCGCTTCAGTGCAGCAGGCCAGCAGGAGCCAGTCACAGGAGCTAGCCTTAGAGATTGTTAAATAATACAGCAGAATTTGTCACCCTTTTCCTTCACCCCTTGTGACCCTCAACATCCCCCATACCTCATTAACACCCTGGCTGTTCTCTGCGTAGGTGGCACCGCAGGTTTTTTCCAACAAAGGATCATTGTCCGAGGTTTTCTTTGACGTGACTTGAATTAGGAAGAACGCCTTCAGCTGAGAGCTCGACAAAGAGGACACAGCCTGAGAAGGATGGAGATAAGTGTGAGGAGGAGACAGACACAGGAGAGGAAGAAAAGAAATGCCTTTTTTTTCTTTAGCAAGGGTCTGACTGTTGCTACGGCATGGACAGTTTAGTTGGCTTGACCTGTTTGGATTGCGGCTGAACCATCTGCGAGTCACAGCCTGATCAGAGCAGACTGCATCGTGCAACGTGAACTCTCTGCCAATTATTCTAAAAATGATCACTTCCTATCTGATGATGCATCCAGTACTATGACTGATTCTCAATTTCCTCATTGTAAGGTGAAGTAGATTGTCTGCCTGTTTTTCCAGCATTAGATTTGGAGATAATTCCTGATTAGATTCGATACTTTCTTCGCATGCAAAGAACAGCTCAAGGTCCAAAAACTAATAAGTATGTAATTGCATACAAGCTTTGCAAAGTCACAGATGACCTGAGGCAGAATGAAGTGGCTTGAGAGGGGGGGGGGGACACCTTAAAAACCAAGCAGAGTCAGAAAATAAAATTCCAGAATAAAGGAAACATTAGAGAAGAACGCTCCATATAAACAAACGGACAAAGAAAAGGACACAGATAGGAAGGCGGAGGGGACCCTCTGTCTAATTAGGTTTGGAGGTCTGCTCACCATTGTTTCTAATGATGTTACCCGGTCAACCTAAGAGAAGGAGGCTTGAATGTACGACTCTGCCCTGGTGTGTCACTACATCTTTGTCTGTGCACGTCAGACACATAGAGAGAGGCACTGAAGGGGACATACTTGAAATGAAAATGGGGAATGATGTAAGGAAAGCAACAGAGTAATACAAAGAATGAGTTAAATATCCAAACATGTTGGGGGTAAAGGATATGATTGGTCAGTAACAGAAGAATGATTCCATCTAATGATAAATATCTCTTTTATATTTGGTTGTGACATCCTCACATGTTTAATATTCAGTTTGTCCTCTCTGTCGTCCTCAGTTCACCAGAACTACGTGGGTACAGATGCAGAGAAGAACCCCTTCTACCTGTCAGTCGTCCTCTCAGACCAGAACAACCAGCGGGTTCCTCAGTACAGAGCCATCCTATGGAGAAAAACAGTGAGTACACCATCTGCACACCTCACTGCAGTGCTGGAAGAAGTACTCATAAGTAGCAAAGCAAAAATCACCATAACAAGCTGTCTTGCTTAAAAATTCTACTTAAAGGTTCCCAATGTGGAGGGTTTAACCTCTAGTAACACTACGGGTCATTTTTTTCTATGTGTGGTTCACCATTTTTTTGAATCTCCTGCATGTCACACACACATGCACATAATGCGAACCACAATCCTGCCAATCGTGTCACATTACTGCAGTGATCATGTGGGGATCATAATATATTAAAAATACGCCAAAGTATGTAGAAAAAAAACATGCTAAAAGACATCCTTGAAGTAAACAATGCAGGATTAAAACTTGGCTTACTAACTGTGAGGTAGGAAATGCATTCCACTGGTTATGTAGACTTTAAGGATGCGCACTATCATTTTACAGCCTTTGGTTGTTTACAAGGCACCTTGAAATTCAAATATAAGCAAAACATTTTATAAGGAATACCTCGTCAAGGAGTGGTTCTGCAGAGGAAAAAATGTCAGGTGTCATGTGATTATACTGTTAAGTCTGTTTCATAAATGCGTGAATACAACTTCAGTTTTCTTTGTATATATATTTCTTGCAACCTTTATTGGAACGGTCACACCCTAACAAAGTGTAACAGCTTCACTGTTATTATTATGACAAATAAGGAGCTTGAAATACTGCAGGAGGTCCTGACCTAAATTACATTTTTTAGAATGGGGTCACAAGCCAAAACGGTTGGGTTTAATCCTCAAGAGTTGAATACATGTATTTATTCCTTAAAATGATTTATTTCCTGAAAAAGAATCTTGATTTAAAAAGTTAATTGTGTCTAAAGTTATGAAATGAATGTAGTGGAGTAAAAAGTAAATTATTTCCCTCTTAGTATAGAGGAGTGAACTGTAGCAGAATCCGAAAGAAAATGAAATGAAATGAAACTACGTTATGTTTGCACTAACTACCCAAAAGAGAATGGAGGATACTGAAATGTTTAAAGCAAGGACTCATCTTGAACTGGAACACTTTCTGTGGAAAAAAATTATTATCAAACTTTTTGTGGGATTTGAATAAAAGAAGGAATGAAATAGCATTTTGAGGAGGTATAAAACTCCCCTCAGTGTGTGTGTGTGTGTGTGTGTGTGTGTGTGTGTGTGTGTGTGTGTGTGTGTGTGTGTGTGTGTGTGTGTGTGTGTGTGTGTGTGTGTGTGTGTGTGTGTGTGTGTGTGTGTGTGTGTGTGTGTGTGTGTGTGTTTGTGATGCATGTTGTGTCTTTGCAGTGGGGTGACTCAGCTTCATGACCAAGATAGCTTGGTACTAATTTTGGCCTCCAGCGTCATCTGCAACCTGATTAGGGTGCTGCACCTCCTCTGACTGATCACATTGATTTATCTTGTTTCTGTCTGACTCCAACTGGAACAGGATGTTGCCGTTGTTGTTGTTGTTGTTTCCGCTTAACAGATCGACCCTGTTTGTCTGAGCTGCTCTGGTGTAATCTGGTCCTATTTAATTGTTCTGTGACTGATTGAAAAATGTCTTGTGCACTTGCACTTTTCTTGTTTGAAACAGTGATTTTGCAGGATGTTATTTTAGGAGGAGGAGGAGGAGCACTGCTGCAACAGGTTTAGCAAAGTGACTCCTCAGGGATAAAGGTGATTGAAACCCACCGTGGTAAGAGTTTGTAATCCCTGATCGGTGTCATTTTTGTTCTCTCAGGGCACTCTGAAGATCAGCCTCCCCTACAGCCCGACAAAAACACTATCAGTCAAGTCAATCCTAAGGTGAGAGGTGCTGTGCCTGGAGCTCTATTGTGACACAATTCAATCCATGAGAGTTTATTCTTACGGTATAAGATACAGCCAATTAGCCAATCGGCACCTCAACTGCTACAAATTCGCCTACTAAGAAGAGGGATTTTTTTTTAGTCCTTAACACACATCTGCAACCAAGCAAGATGTCTGTGGCTCTCACAGAATATATTTAAACCTACATGGAGATCAGAAAGAAGTCATACTTCCTTCTAAGGCCTCCACTGGACTTGGATAATATGTAATTCTAAAAAAATATTCACAGACATGCAGTTTGGTCTCAAAATCCGCATCCATCCACAGAGGGGTTCTGACCCTTTGCACAAGAAAACAGTCAGAATGCTCTCTTATAAATATAAAGCCAGTCTTGAAATGAAGCACAAAAAAATGAAGTGGTATTATGAGGAAAGGGAACTTAAAGTATTTAAAAGAAGAAGTAGGGTCCTGCTGCTCATGTTTAATGACAAAACAGGTTTCGCATTGATTTGGAGCTGCATGAGATGCTGACGATTTTGTTCTATCTATATCATTTTAATTACTGTTATTTTTAAATGTTTCTACAGGTTATTGCCTATTCATTATTATGTTCATAAGATATAAGTTTCCAGAGCATGAGGTGATAGTGCTTCTTTTGTCCAAACAACAGCCCGAAAGGAAAGCATGTCTTTAAAAGATGGAAAAAAAAAAGACAAATCTCAGATTGCAGAAGATAAAAAAGTTTGCTCAAAATGTCTGAAAAAGGGGCGTTGATGATCTAGTGGGTCAGGTCACGCCCTGTGTACAGAGGCTATAGTCCTCCAAGTGGGCTAAGTCTGACCTGCAGCTCCTTTACCGCCTTAGCTGTCCCCACTCTCTCTACCAGCTTCCTGCTCTATCCACTGCAGTATCTAAATGACAGCAAAAAGCCCAAAAGTAAATCTAATAAATAAAAATGGCTGAAAAGATCAATCTGTTATTCAAATGTATGCAGATTCATTTTCTATCATTCATTCATTCAAATCATTGATTTTTTTTTAAGTAATTGCTATAGCTATTAGCTTCAGATAATGTTTTCTTTTTGCTTGAATAGCCTTTTTGTATCGCTGTCAGTTCTAATGGTGTTTAAGAAGCTGAACTCATTATGAAATGCTTTTTTAAAAAATCATAGTGTTATTGATATCTTTAATGTAATGTTTCCAGTTGCAGAGTGTGTCCCTGACAAGTACCAGGATGTAATGAATTCATGAAACGGGAGGTTGTAAATTCCTGAGGTTGAGCGTGTCTCACTCTGAATGACAACACGTGATACAACTAAGAAGAGAAATCCCCCTGTATCAGTTCTCTCTCTCTCTCATTTTTCAGTGTAACTCTATGGGCTATTTGTCTTCCATGGATCCTAAGTGTACAGCTTTCCCTCTTGTCATTACTGCTGTCTCACCTCCTCCCCTCTCCTTTCTTTACTGCCAGTGCAATGAACATGGACAGGTTTGAGAAAGGCCCCAGGGAGATCCTCACCCCGGAGATTCAGAAGGTGAGAGTAACACCAGAGCATAGTAGCGTTGGATCAGCAGCACCTATCCTACAATATATCCTCAGGCTGAGCTTCCTTCCTTGCAGAGCTACTCGGTGTGAATGATAATTGTTGTGTCGTCTCTCCTCAGGATCTGCTGGTGTTGGAGGAACAGGAGGTACGTGGAATGACACTGCTTTTACCCGACAGTTTAGCTCGTACATGGACTGTTTTTGTTTGTTTTTTAGAGATCGGGTATTTCTTTGGGTTAGATACTACTTTTTTAGGTCCATTTTTTGTTTTGCTTTTCAGCCATCTGCACATACAGTAACTGATACCATTATTTGTTTGCATAATTCTGTAAGTGAGAAAAGCTGCTATCATACATGTGAAAATAATTGTAATTTTACATCTCCAGCTAGTTTACACCAGTGTATTCATAAATTAAACTACTTTACTCTTTACTCTTGTTTTATTGTGCAATGATTGTATGCTTTTAATTCTGTGTTTATTTTTTACAAAAGAAATCCCTCCCTGTTAATGTTGTTTCTATTTTTACCATAAAACTTATGTTTGGCATTTAATAATCCATTTTGAGTTTGAGGTTTTACTCTCATGTGTACAGTTCTTACAAATATGTATATATACTGTATATATGCATGTATTAGCAAATATTAATATCATGTGATTTTTGCAGGGATCTGTCAACTTTAAATTCGGTGTCTGTTTGCCAAAGATGGACAGCTCACAGATGATGAGATGTTTAGCAATGGTAAATTACATTCTTCTCTCTTTTTTTCAGAATAGATAGATTCTAATTTTGGGATATGCACATATTGGCTAAATGGGCAAGAGATAAACAAGGAGATAGTTCTGATTTTCTTTTTAGTTTGGAGCTGGAGGCAGCAGCCAGTTAGATTCTCACTGCATAAAGAGAGAAAACAGGTGAAACACGAACCTTGTTCTTCATGAAGGCAATGAAATCTGCCTGCTAATCTAGCTGTTTGCACCTGTTTGCAGTCATGACAAGCTATAAGCAGCTTCTGGTGTTAGTCATATTTAGGGTACCCACATGAGAGTAGTAGAAAATCTTCTACTCAACATGTCAACTTGTTCTCGACTGGTTCAAATCCTATTTAAAAGAAAGGAAGTTTTACATTTCTCTTAGCAATTGTACATCTGAAGACACAAAATTTCTCTCTGGGGTCCCACAAGGATCAGTCCTTGGGCCTTTGCTCTTTAATCTATACATGCTTCTGCTCGGTGCAATCATCAGGAAAGAGAAAGTATCTTACCATTCATACCTGAAGACACACAGTCGTACAGCTTTCTTTCATTCCTGTGTATTTAACCTCAATGTAAAGCACACTGAGCTTACTGAAAATATGCTTTATGAATAATATATATAATAAAATAATGTGTAATAATGGAACTAACTCCATCAAAATAACTTGTATTTCAAAGTAATGTATCTGCTAAGTTCGACTTGACGTGTTTGTTTCAGAGACGGGGAGTGAGGGCTTCGATAAGTTTCTCAATCTTCTGGGTGATTCCATAACGCTGCAGGGATGGGCAGGTTACCGCGGAGGGCTAGACACCAAGAGTAAGCGAGCTCATAATGTTGAATCACATCACATTAACATCTTTTTAAAAGCAAATCCTTCCAATAAACCAATATTAATTCAAATGTTTCTGTCTTTTCACCTGCAGATGACACTACAGGGATTAAGTCCATCTACACAGTGTATCAGGGCCATGAGCTCATGTTCCATGTGTCCACCATGTTACCCTACTCTAAAGAGAACAAACAGCAGGTGGGTGTCTTCATTTCCCCTTTTTCCTGTTATATAGATTGTTTTCTTGCAACTGTAAACACAAACAGCAACTGTGATGAAGTAAACTCTTCTTGGTTCAGACTTGCAACACTTGAGAAAATATTTGATCTCAAATACAATCTTCCTCGACTTTCCTTTTTTGCATAATTAAATGTATTCTCACATTCGGCCCTCAGCACTAATTGCACCCCTCTGGCTGTTTTATACTCTTTTATTGGACAAAATCGCATCATGTCAAATTGCACGTCAGTCTCAGTTCTTCATCTCTCTGTGATTTTTCAGAGACACTAACTCACTCTTAACTTTGTACCGATAGAAAGCAGGTACAGTGGAATAGAATGAAACTCTGTTCACCTTAGAAAGAAAGGTCGTTATTGCTTTACAGCTGAGCTCCTTTCTGTAATGCCAATATGAATATGATTTAAACAGGCTGGTGTTTAGCAGACCTGAATCATAATTGGATTTCTTCTCAAGATAGGAAAAATACATTCTGGTGGCTGATTATAAGGAACAGTCTGTGCGTGTACTACATTTGAGTCTGCCTGCTTGTCTCATGCTTACAAGAGAATGAAAGCATATTATTGAATTTTATTTAGTCCATTTTAATTGGTGAAGAGGTAGCTTTTATTTGACGCTATAATACAAAGTTAGAAGAAATCTCTCAGCATCCAAAAAAAGAAATGGGCTATCCTCTGGGGAGCATGAATGTGCTCAAGTAATATCAAAATGTGTTTTAGATTTGGGTTTTTCTTGTGTTAAAGTCAAAATGATTACCAGATGTCTGCAGTGGAGGTGTTGACAGTAGGTGCAAACTAATATCTATTAAAAGACTCAACTTTTGAGAAAAAGAAAAAAAAACATCACCCTGTTTTTTCACTGCCGTTTCTTCTTCTTCCAAAGTCTTGAGCATCACCAGTGTGTGTTGGTTATTTTTATATCTCTTCCTACATGGTTTAATTAGAACCTAAAGCTAAATGAGTGGATGTGTTTTTTTTTTCCGTTTGAGGATTTCTTCATTCTCTGACGAGCATAGTTATCTATGCCAAAGAATTGCCATGAAGCAAATTGTTGGGTAGAATTTGGTACCTTTGGGGGGAAACTGAAATACAAAAAATGTACATACAAACAGAAACCGTAGGGGCGTTGGGTAATATTTGAAATGAATGGAAATATAGAAGAAAAAGAGCCACAGCAATTCACTGAATCAATGTTTCTCGTGCTAAGCTGCAGGATTTTTGTTAATACATTTGGTCTGTTACTTCTGGCAGGTGGAGAGAAAGAGACACATTGGAAACGACATTGTTACCATTGTATTCCAGGAAGGGGATGACGCATCGTCGTCCTTCAAACCGTCTATGATCCGATCGCACTTCACCCGTATCCTTCCCGTGAACGTTAACAAGGAGGTCGTCATCAACATGAGCCGTGTCCAGATGGAGATATGAAACACATGTCACATGTTACCCTGTCCATGATTGGATTGCTTTTTTGTGTCTACCGTTTACATAATCTTGTGTTTCCTTTACTCCACTTCCAGATATTTTTGCTTTAGTTAGGTATAATAGCCAGAATGACAGTTACAGGTGAGTTCTGTGCTTTATGGTGTTTAATGCAGATTGCTTTTGACTTTAACTTATTTTTAAAATCTCACCTCCTCTTGATTGATTCTGTGATGTTCGGTTGAGATGTGCTTTAATAAGCGCTGGAAAAAATGGAAAAAAGTATCGTCATTTATAATTTCTTTAGTTTAAGGAGTACCTTTAAAAAAATGCAAACACAGAAAAATTACATTAAGTCATCCCTTAAATGTATCAATATAAACCATATAAACTATGTTACCATTTTTTCCAATTTACTTTTCTTTGGTGAATGATGGGGAGTCCCGCTTTTCGATTATGTGCCCCCCCCTCTTTTACAGAAGACAGAAGCTGTTTGATCGAAACATATTAAGTAATTATGACCAGTAAATCATCCTTGTGGACATTGGTATTATCTCATATTGAGATTGTTCTATCCCCAAGCCTTCATTTATATCCATTTTAAGTGTAGGAAACATTTTGACATATGTGCTCTTTTTGACAGGTTGAAGATATTCTCAGAGGAGAGCGTTCCACTGTTTGGACCCCCTCTCCCGTCTCCACCTGTGTTTACTGATCACCAAGAATTCAGGGACTTTTTATTAGTCAAATGTAAGAAAGCGAACTAGAAATGTACTTTGAATGCACACAACACGTTTGCACTTTCTCTTTTTGTTTATGATCGAGTGTTGCTTTCGCTCCTGCAGTAATCAATGGAGAGAAAGCCACACTGGAGACACCAACGTTTGCCCAGAAGCGTCAGCGGACCCTCGACATGTTGATCCGCTCGCTCTACCAAGACCTCATGCCAGACCTGCACAAGGTACAGACGCTTGTGTTTACCGTCAACAAGTACCTTTCTTGTCCATTCTTCGCTGTCTGAACTTTTTACCCATCCAAGTTTTGTCCTTCTTGTCACTTTGGTGACTTCAGACACTATCCTCTGCTGAGCTTTGTTCTGCTGTATTCTACTGCAGCCCTCGGTCTCTCTCTGCATACTGCACCACGTCAACTGGATACTACTGCAATGCTGACTTTCTCAGCAGGAGGCTCTCTCTCTCAGACTCCTCACACCACTTTTCTTCTTAAAACTCCTGTTTTCATTCTTTTAACTGTTGCTCTAACCGGCACTTAGTTTTCACTGCTGCTGTTCTCACCCCCTGCCAGGGTCCGCCTCTAAGACCCCACTCTGCTTTCTTTTTTCCCCTCTTTGTGTGTGTGTGTGCGCATATGTTTGTTTGTGTTTGTGTGTGTGAACATTTTGGGTGTTTTAGGTCCCTTTTTCTCCCCAGAACATGTTAAACCGGCGATCCTTCAGCGACGTGCTGCCCGAGTCTCCGAAGTCGGCGCGCAAGAAGGAGGAGGCGCGTCAGGCTGAGTTTGTCAGAATAGGGCAGGTAAAAAACACACAAACACACACTCACACACAAACACACACACTGCATTAACACACTATCAGAACACTAAAGTGAGGAGGCAGAGACACCTTCACCAGAGTACACACCCAGTAGAAGGTGGGCACACACAAGCAGCATAAATAGACAAATACAGACACACATGATCATGTAAACACACTCTATTTGTCATTATCTGTGAGCATAATACCAGCATGTTATACAGAGTGAATGTCTGACTGATAAGAAATATGTATGATAATATACCAGAGCAACTTTTAAGGGTACATTTCCCCTTTTAAGGTGTAAATATAGCTGTCTCTACGTGCTTTCATTTACCTGTTTTCAATGTTGGTATTCTTGTTTTGTGCAATTTAAATTTTTCTAAGTTCTCAGTTGGAGATGGTCTATTGCTATTCCATTTCAGGCACTGCTTCTTTGCATTTGACCTTCATTCACTTTGTCTATTATCATACATTTTATGTTTTTATATCTCATGTGTGTTTGATGCTCTTCATACGGTAACTTTAGAGCAATAAGGCACGTCCAATTTCCTTGGAATTAATGTAGTTTTATGTTATCTTAGCCCTCTTGGTCGAATAGAGTGAGCATCTTATCAACATGGGACAGTGGTGCAGTGGTTAGCGCTGTTGCCTCACAGCGAGAAGGTTCCTTGTTTCGAATCCCCGTCAGAGAGGGCCTTGATGTGTGTGATGCAAGAGTTTGCATGCTCTTCCATTGTGCATGCATGGGTTCTCTCAGGGTACTCTGGCTCATCCCACAGTCCAAAGGCATGCTTGTTAGGTTAATTGGTAACTGCCTGGAGGTGCAAATGTGTGGCTGGTTGTCTGTCTCTATATGTCAGCCCTGTGATTGACTGGCGACCAGTCCCGGGTATACACCACCTACTGCCTAATGACAGCTGGTATTGGCTTCAGCCCTGTGACCCCGAACGGGAAAACAATATGGATAGTGGATAGACAGATTTCGTTTTTTTTTTAGTTTCTTTCAGTCTCTGCAAAGCAACTCGACACTTTCCAAGGGAATGCTTTATAAAAAAAGGAAGACACTCCCTTATTCTTGTATGAATCACTTACTGTTCAAGACTTGTAATGATTCCCAGTGTATTTCTAGAGAGAACATGGACATGTTAGTTCCATCAGACTGGTATTAGGAAGGATCACCTGAAGATCACAATGAACAGATGGAATAATCACAGCAAGCAAAAACCTGATCCGACGCTCACATGAACAGCTGGCTGTTGTTAGAAGACAGACTCTGCAGGCACAGAGATTTGTGATGGATTTGATTCTTGGACAGAGTAGTGTCTGCAGGTTTTAGTATCAGGCTGCATATTGAACCCAGCTGTCAGGTGCAGCATCCTGTTACAGCCCTGAGGCAGAGAGAGGGACTGGCTAACCACTCACTGCTGCTCATTAAGCTGGTTGCTTTGTGCGCATGGTTATGAATGAAGGTGACTCAGATGAATGTGTCGATGATTCCCCGTCTCCTGCTTACATTGTGCTCTTGCTTCATTTACAAGGAGAGTTACATCTTGGGAATGATAAATCATAAAAGTAGTTTGTGTGGCTTTAATGTAGTGAAAAAAAATCTTAAAGGTCACATATTATCCTCCTTTAAATACATTTAAATAAGTCTCAGAGCTTCCCTATAACATGTCTGTGAGGTTTCTTGCTCAAAATCCACTCCTGATCCTGTATTTCATCATGCCTATTAACCCCTCAGCCCTGCTCAGAGCAGGCTGTTTCTGTGTTTGTGGCTTTAAATGCAAATTAGCTGTATTTGACCACGCCCCTCTCTGGAAGGGGTTGTGGCTCGGGCTTTCTTGCACCATCCCCTATCGTTATCAGTGGAAAGATGGACTCAGAAGGAGCACCTGTAGCTGTGGGAGTGTCACACACCTGGGGGAGGGGTTACTGCCCTTCGTGATGTCATAAAGGGAACATCTCTAAATGGCCTGTTTGTGCACACATTTTCTGAAAAGTGGAGCAGGCAAAAGCCGGAGAGAATGTACTTTTCTCATGAGCGGGGGGATTGTAGACATGCCAGGGACACATATAAGTTTGAGAATAAAATCAAGTGTATTCTGCATAATATGTGTCCTTTAACATTAACTGTTAATCTGTTAAGGCTGTATGTGTGGAAAAAAAAGATGAAATACAGCTACACACTTTCATTGTTTTAGAAAATACTTTACTGGCTTTTATGGAGAAATTACTTCATGTGGTCTTTCGGTCCCTGCTTAAATAACAAAGTATATTCTGTTGTTTATTTATGAGGCCGTGATATGGTTCTGATCACATTTTTCAGTTGAGAACACTTAAGACTTGAGCTGTAATCAGGCACATTATTCACAGTGAGACACAATGCTTTTTGTTATGTTTTTGAGCAGTGTATAATCTAACCGCCAGCGCTAGTATATATTTTTTATTTTGACACAATAATAAGCCATATACAGAAGCTGTTGTTGTAGAAAGCTATCCTCTCTCATCTGTGAGGAGGATCTGTGACTCTGTCTGTTATTATAAAGCCATTTAAGAGCTGTAATTCCTGACAGACAGCAGAGTGAACAGCTTCCAGGAGGGTCAGGGTGGAATAATGATAGAAGAACCGGTCAGTGAGTCCATGCTCAAGTATTAATGTGCTGATGTAATGATCATTACACCTCTGCTCTTGGTGCTGATGTAACTATCATTTTTCCGGGAACAAGGTCTGGAAACACAAAAGAGATAAGTGTGTAAAGAACTGTCCGTGGTGCTGAACCAGGGCGACGTCTGGCATTGTTAACATAATTAGTGTGTTTGGGGTTGCTTTTGAAAAATTCATTGTTTCTTGGAAAAATATGCTCTCAGTTATCATGTGATGTTCCAGACAATATTCTGGAGTGAAGCACAGCTGCTGTTGATTTAGTGCGCCTTGAATCAATGAATTGAACTTTTTCCTAATTGTAATTTTCCCCATAGTACATATCCAAATCTAAAATGTTTCTATTTTACAATAATGCTCACACAGATGTGGGAAATTAAATGCGCTTTTCATAAACTCGACCACATCTTTAAGGGAAATAATGTACTTTCACCTGCGTTACAATTATTTACATATTTAGGTTGTAGTTCTTTTGGTATTCAACTACATTTTAAAAACTACAACAATTAGCTCATGCACTTCAAATTAATTGGAAACCATTCAATTGATTTGAAAAAAATATAAACTTGTGAGAATTATCCCTTTAAATATTTTGTTTAAATAATCTTATACCATGGTCTGGGTGAATACTAGATTCTGATTGGCTGAAGGGTGTCACATGGGTGTAGATTAACTTTTGATATATACCAGAGAAAGTAGTTCCAGGTAAACAGTTTGTTCACTGTTTCTAATGAATGTGCTGCAGACGCTAAGCTTATGTTATTTTATGTTTTTGTTTATTTGGGCTTATTTTGGTTTTATAGATTTGGGGTATTTGTGCCTCGTTCTCCCTCTTTGGAGCAGAGCCGCTTCTTATTGGCTGGGTAATTTACTGTGGTTAATGACACCTGGGGGAGACTGGTGAGAGTGGGGAGCAGAACAGTTTTTTGACTGCAAGCGGCAGCTGAGATTAAATGATAGCGACCTGATTTGTTTATTTTACTTTGTCGAGTTTCATTTTTGATGATTTTTTTTTGTAAATAAATGTGCAAGTTGTCTTAGAATCTGCGGCTGCTTTTTGGTTTTGATAGCGTGTCAAACCCACTCAGCAGTGCCTTACCTGGAAGTTTAGTTGAAGCCATAACGGTAACCTATAGCTGTTTTTCAGGGGACTTTTATAAGAGGGAACTGTCTGGTAGGGAGTTTCCCTGACAGAGTACTCACCATGGGGACTTTTTTCTGTCTGCATTATCACCACCATGGTTGTTATGACTCAGCACGAGAGTACGGACCCAAAAACAAAACTCCGGACACAGAGGCACAATCCAAACCGTCTTTAATGAGCGACAACAAAAACACACAACGCCAAAAGAGCATTGGTAGCGAGAAAAACAAAATCCACAAGGTAGAGACTTCCACAAGTAGGCGGGCAGGCACAAGCACAAAACACCAGGCACTGAGGCAGAGAGACACAGAGGTAGAAGTTAGCAACACACTAGTAGTTCACACAGAACGATACTCAGAGATGTCGGCCAAAAACAAGGTAAATACCACAGAGAGATATAGTATACTCAGGGGTTCACGAGTGGTGAAAAGACCGGAGTAGATAAACTGTTGCAGATGAGGATGATTGATTGCACCTGGGCTGCCTGGGGAGAAAACCACGCCCACCAGCACTCACACACACACAACCATGCACACCTGACACACAGGAGAGGAGAAACAGAGGGTTGAGACAAACAGAGGAAAACTAACAACAAACATGAGGAAGGGAGGGGCTGCTAAGGATGAACCATAACAATGGTACCTACTCTAAACGGGGTTCTAGGAACTGAAACAGTTCTTGGTTCCTGTGGTGCAAAAGCACTAAAAAAGGAGGAGGGTTCTGACAGTTCCTAGATATATGAAACAGTTCCTGTGATCCGAAGACACCTTATGCCTTTTTTTTTTTTTAGGATTTGAGACGGATTGCTTTAAAATCTCTGATCTCTGTTTTTTTTGTTTTGTTTTTTCACATTTTTTCACCTCCTAGAGGCCACAATCTGCCTGCAAACCAAGCTGTTGTGTTCTTTTTTCAGTCTACACTGAAAATAAGTATGTAGTAATTATTTACATCTGCACACTGCGGAACAGACAGCCACGAGGAATTATCGATCAACAAAGTTAGCACCTTTTTGAATTAGTTCTAACGATTTGGTTTTGCTTCTACAGTGTTTTCTGTCTCTTTTGTTTTCTTAGTTTATCTCCTAGTTCTCAGCCTTGTTCCTCCGAGTGTTTTCTGCCTTATTTGTCTTGTTTCTGTCGCGCTCGGCTCATAAACAAGAAGCCCGAACATCGAAACTTTGTGCTCTAAAGCTTGAAAACAAAGGGAGCGAGACGTGTTGATTCACTGATTTCCCTGATTTGTAGAGACAAGGCGTTTGTCCTCAACTAAACTGTCTCTGTATATGTTCAACGGCTGCGTGATGCAGAATATACTCAAAGGTTTCATGTGGATGGATCAGTATATGTATTTGATGTATATTTCCAGAGTGTGCTGCACTGCCCAGTCATTGTGCTGTTTGTTCATATTGATTTAATTATCTCCAGGTTGCCTGTTTATGCAGATATGTAAATAGAACCGCCCGACAGTTCAGCTTGGACTGGAAATTGTCAACCCGATCAGACGCTTGCTCCTTTAGCATTCGTGCAAACTTAATTCTGATGCAATTACAAACTTTATTCCATTTTCAAGACACAGTCTTTTTTTTTTTACAGTTGCTAGTTGGCTTGTCTACATCCTTTCTATTCCGACGAGCTGCTGTCACATCTCTCAGCATAAATAAGCATAAAAACAAGGAAGCAGCAGTAACAGTGTAGTTATTTATTAGCGATGGAATACAAGGTGCATAATTCAACGAGCTCACAGCACTGCTTGTGATGCATTTATGTGCACATTTCTCATGCAATAAAAAGAATAACTCAATTATTCAGTGCAGGCTCCATGATTCAAACATCTTATCCAGATATTTTTGTAGCGGTCACCGGAATTTTTTATTTTAAGAGACACTCGTGCCTTAGGTGAATTATGTGAGCAACCAAAAGTTTTTAGAGCGATTCTCCACAACAGCACAAGTTAAGTTAAGAACAGTTAGAGGTACTTTTTGGTCACTTGACAAAAGCTGCTTTCGGACCGCAGGAACTTTTTCATAGTTGGAATCCTCCCCCTTTTTTATTGATTCCGCACCGCAGGAGCTCTGAACTATTTTAGTTACTAGAACTCCGTTTAGAGGAACTTAGCTTCAGAGTAGGTACCATGGCGGTGTGAATGCAGACAGAAAAAGAAGTCCCCATGATGTGAAGTTCTCAGGGAACTCTATTGGATAGTTCCTCTTGCTGTTCGGTCAGAAAACACCATATGTCAGTATAGCATTTTGATACATTTCTTTCACTCTACTAGAGTGTCTTCTTCATTGTTACCTTGCTCCTTTTTACTTAAATAAATGATCAGATCATGTCTCTGGCACTGAAGGCCACAGCATCCAGTAGTGACAGATGTCTCTGCTGTGTTTTTACATCTGTAACCATTTCATCCTCAGGCTCTGAAGCTGAAGACCATTGTAAGAGGAGACGCCCCGACCAGCCTTGTTACCACGGGCCTGTGCAGGAAAGAGGTGAGCGCTCGCTGTCTTCTAGACAATTCACTGCAGAAAATCTGAACCGACATTTTATTTTTATTTTTGAAAATGTTTTAATCCTTATTTAGATTACTTCCAAAACAAATCAGTGTAGAGCCAAACATTTATCTATGTTTTAGAGTTTCAGATAAATTGGAGCAATATTCCTTTTTGTAATGACATGACATAAAAACATTTTTGTTAACGTCATTTATCAGAGAGATTATTTTTACCAAAATACCAACATGAGGGTAAATACCAAAATATTCATTGAAAGGACCTATGTCCATGTATAACTATAAAAAAATGGTCTATCAAAATGGTTTTGTAGTCTACAAATGTTGTGTTATTGTTTTTCTTAGTTTTCAACAAAGCAAGTAGACTTGAATTCTCATATATCTTTGTCCGTATGTGCACCTATTCTGCAGCCATGGGAGTCCCAGTCGTTCTGCAGCACTTTCCCCTACGAGATCGTGTGTGCAGACTCCTGGGGTCAGTCTCTGCTGGTTGCCACGGACACAGCGGGGGTCATGCTGTTGGATGGTGAGATCATCCCTAATCTATATATCCCTATGTCCTTCAAAAATAAAAGCCACCCATCCATATCCCTTCAATACTGCGCTCAGCTGAATGCCACGACTTACAGCTAGCATGAGGATGATAATGATGGTGTGCATGTTTCAGGGCCGGATCCTGCTCTGCCTAACGCTGGTGAGTGACTCATTTTTTATCCTTGGTTATGACCTATTTTCTTTTTGTTTGTTTTACAGATTATTAAGACAAACATTGCTTGACGTTCTCTATAGTCCTTAGGTTTTTAAGATTTTTAAACGTATTAGATCTTAAGTTAGATCTTAAGAGAGAGTAGGTGTTTACACCGTGTAATGTCAGGGGGAGACTGCAGAGAAAATAAATACAAATTAAGTTCCTGTTATTTTAAATAAGACAGCATCAGTGTCCTTTCCAGGTCACGTCCACACAATCTGTCAGTAGAGATGCCTAATAAGAGTTTTTTTACAAGCCGAAATTAAAATGCCAAAAACATTTTTTTATCAGCCTTGACTGATAATCAACATTTCTTAAGAATAATGTAGGTTCTTAAGAATGTAGGTTTATGATAGAATTTCTTCTTCTTTGAAACTCTACCAAGAAGAGTATTTTTCCACTCCCACCTGTTGAACATATCTTGTATTATATAACATATATTAGATATTTTTATTTAATGTTTATTTTATTTTAAGACTCCCTGACAGTAGGAGTTCTGCTGTTCCCTTATTTACTACTTTTATATTCTACTTTATGTTCTTTGTTTTTCGCATCAAAAACACTCCCATGACAAATTCCTTCAAATCTATACCTTGCAACAAACCTGATTCTGTAAACGCTGATGCTCTTTGCTTTGATGTAACAAAAAAAGGGACACACACATAACAGTGGCATTTAACACACCAGGATTTACTTGAAGCATCTTTCTTCTGTTTTTCTAAAATATATACTGAAATGTGTTGTTACTTTTTCACAAGGCCTTTGTAAAGTTGAGATATTTTCTACCCTAATTAGAGTCATTTTAGAAGACAACAATACCAATTATCTGATTGCATCATCAAGTCATTTTCGGATTTGACATCTTTTTATTCGGTTGTGTGTTGTTTTCCAGAGACGCAGGCTCTCCCTCCGGTGCAAGCGTTTGACAAAACCATGGTGGTGAAGCAGATGCACGTTCTCGAGCCTCAGGACCTGCTTATCACCAGGGCGGACAAAGGTACACCTCAAGGGGGAAAAAAGGACAATTATGCTTAAAACCCCCTCCCTGGACATCAGAGTGTGCTCCATCCTTTGCCATCCCCTCCTTCATTCATTTTTTTCTGCAGCAGAACCGAATTTAAAGCACATTTATTCTCTCATTATTCCCATTTTTTTCTCTTATTTCACCTCTGTCATCTCTCTCGTTGTTGAGTACGTACTTACCCTTTCCACCTCCATCGGCCGAGTGAACACATCGATCTCTGGCTGTGATCTAAGGAAGCTGACCTATAGAGAACCAATCCCCGCCGGGCTCTGTGTGTCTGTGTGTGTGATTGTGTGTGTCTGTACAGAACAGTGTGTGTCTGTTTATCCTGCAGGTCTGGATTGACTGTGAGCGCTGTAATGGGCAGACACAGATAAAATGAAACACACGGACCTGAAAGCATTTCAAACAAAAACAAATAGACTCTTTGTAAGAACAAACAGCTCTGCAATTCGTCTCGTGTTTGTTTCAACCAAAAGAGCATTTAATTAATTAGCGCGCAGATTATTATAACCCTAATATTAACAAACAGGGTTAACTTGGTTTTGATAGTGATAATGTGATGGCAGAGCAAACATTTGTCACGACTGTGTGTGGGCTTTGATGAAGCCTCTGAGAAGCCTCGGAGTAATCCTCTCTATTGTCCGAGCGTAGGAGGATGCTTAAAAAAAAAGAGCGACGGCAAATTAAGAGTAACCTTCATGCAAAACAGAAGCGCCCTTTTGTGTGTTTTGTTTCCCAGGGAAGGACGCCCGGCTCTATGTGTTCAGACTGAGCGCGCTCAAGAGAGGCCTGGAGGAGAAGCAGCTCGTCAGGAGCAAGTGTGACAGCCGCGAGAACAAACTGGAGAAAACTAAAGGTACCACACAAAAAGAGTTGCGAAACATTTAAATAACTCTGCAAAACAAGCAAGATATCATAAGTGATGCAATTAACTTTAATACATCTTAATTCAAGACGTAAAGGATAGACTACCGATTGAATGTGCCAATATACACATTTAAACAGAATTTGTCCTTTTTAATTATTTCCATTCTTTTTTCTTGTTAAACGTAATTAAAGCTCATGTGAGAAAGTTTGTGTTGATTTTGGCGCCCCCCTGTGGACAGATCAGTGCCTCTTGGGTCTTTGTTGATCTTGTCCTGTACATTTAAGTCATCATTTTAAAGAAAAAATCATATCCTGCTTTGAATAAAGTTTCTTTGCCATGGCAAATGGAAACAAAGTTGGTTTTGGCAGTCTGTCGTGAACCACTTCTTCTGACGCCTATCTCACCCCATCAGATTCAAACTTTAAAAAAAAATATATATTATTTAACCTTTATTTAACCAGGAAAGAAAACTTGTTGAGATTAATAATAATAATTAATACATTTTTTCAAGAGTGTCCTCGCCAAGACAGGCAGCAGCACAATTAACAGAGTTTCACACAAACAACGAGCAGCTAAACATTCAAATACAAAAATACATTATTAAACATGAACAGTAACTTCATAGAATCAATCAATCTTGTTGCTAATTGTCTTGTTTACATTTGAAGCTCATAAAGAGACGACAATATTAATTTGGTGTCTGTTTCACAACCCCTCTAAAAACTCTTTACATGCGCTTTAAGTGTTAAATGAAGGTATTTGTATCGTTGCTGTCTAAGTAGAGTTACCGTCTTTTAGTATTAAAATGTCTTTGTAGTATAAAATAACAATTCCAAACAATAGACTTTTAAAATAAGTGTATTTTTTTTACTGTCAGATGATGTCATTTATAATGTGAGTGTTTCAATCTGCCTGCTACCTTTGGTTTTCTGAAGAAGATAATGACTTTAAGAAAAAATACAACTGACCTCAGTTTTGCTCTTCAGCACCACCTGTGGTAATAAAAGGTAATCTTGGTTACAGGATACTGATCTTTTCTTTGTTCGCTCAGTCAGGATAACTGTTAACTAGCGATAAGAACTCAGTGAACTGCTTCAAACACAAGTGAGCTAGAGAGCGAGACTGTTACACGGCGGCAAAAAAAATCCTAAGAGATGGAGAACATGTCACTGCAAAATATAAGGGCATTTATCCCAGTGTAATAAGTTTATTGTTTTTTTCTTATTTTGATAATAAGAGAAACTTAATAGACATTTATTTGAAAGAAAATCCTTTTGGAATTTGATTTTAAACTAATTGAAGACAATGAAAAATTTGATGCTATTGTTGTTTTTGTTTTGTTTCGTTTGAAAGTAAATCCATCAATTTATTCATTAATTGGGAAATTGGTCCGACATCAAGCAATCCACAATTGGATCTTGTTTCTTGTCAGCTTTGGCAGAAAGATTAATTGAAAATGTTGTGACAAATTAAATCAGTAACCTTGTAAACACATTTTTCAGTGTGAGGCAATTACTTCTTGACGGTATTTTTTTATATTAGTCAAAAGAAATGGATATTTAATCAGCCCAGTAAAGGATGTTGCGACCTTTAAAAAAAAAGTCCTCTGAGGAGTGCAAAAACATAACCTTTGACCTGCTGCTGCTGTAAAGTCATCTGTCTGAATCATTGATCTGTTCGATCACTCACCCATCCTCCTGCTTCTCCCAAACCCTCTTCGTCGCAGGCTGTCATTTGTACTCTATCAACACCCACCACGGCTCCGTGCTGAGGATAGTAGCAGCTATCAGGAACAAACTCCTCCTCATCACCAGGAAACATCCACGTTTTGAAGGCTTCAGCGCCATCGCAGCGGGAGCAGACTCACCGGTGGAGGAGTTTCAGTACATACGGGTACGACAATATCTATATTAGGAAAAACTTAACGTGCAGAAAAAATCAAACTCCTGACAAATGAGAATCAGACTCATAAACTTATGAGTTTATTTTTGGTTTTGAAAAAAGAAGACATTATATTTGTCTGTTTTCTCTTTACACATAATATATTCTAAAGCTGGGTTTTTGTATTTATGCGAGACGTTGTGTTGAGCCGCAGGGGGAGAGAAGGTGAAACAACAAGTACATGCAGCTGTTCTTAAAATACAAATAAGTTAGTTCATGTTTTTGGAATTGGATTTGACCAGAAACAAATGAAAGTCAGAAGAAGTTGCTCAGAGCTCATGGAGGAAATTTTGTTGTTTTTACTACATAATTGCCCCAATTTGTCTCCATGACGGCAACAACTTTCCTTGTCATGATATCATTGTATGACATCTTGAGACACATAAATGATCATCATATCTGTAGACTCAGTTTGAAATAGTTTTTTTTCCAAGGATATCTTTATTTTCTTATGTCCATAACAAACACATGTCCAATAAATCAGCTTGATGTGTCCGTACAGAAGGAATCCAATGATTTTTAATTCATGACTGTGCTTCACAAAGGGCAATGCTAATTCTGAACACTTTTAAGCTTTCCAAAATTTAAACAAATATACTCAACAAGTTCCCAAGTTGACTATAACTTTAAACACAGCTATGTACCCAATGGAAGTATGAAAATAAAAATGTACAAGACATGAAGAGAAAAAAGGTTATATTTATTTTTAGAGCAATTAAAGTAAACTTTGTGTGAAAGCACTGAGGTTCATCTTTTGCCATCGCTCCATCAGGAGATCTGTCTGTGTGACCCGCCGGTGGTGATGGCTTTGGTGGACGGGCCGACGGGGGAAAACGACAACATGATCTGTGTGGCCTACAAACATCAGTTTGACCTGATCAATGAGAGCACAGGAGATGCCTACAGGCTACACCATGTAGACGCCAACAGGGTGAGGCAACACCTGCAAACACACACACGCACATATTACCAAGCTGCTTGGGTGAATCATTCACAAACCACAGCTGAAGAGGAGAAACGAAGATGCTAGAGGATGAAGAGCTTCTCTATGTATACTCTTTTTTTATAGCTATTTTTCCCATTTCTCTTTTGAAAAAGTAACTGAAAAGATGACAAACTGTAACAATGTGTTTTTCATAATCTCTGGATTTTCACCCAATACCTTGGCATCAGTTTTTGCAAAGTTCCTCTTCCTTGACCTTTGGATCATGTTTAAAAGATGTCCTTTAAAATGACTCTTCTCTACTTTCAGGTAAATTATGTAGCAGCCATTGATGTGTACGAAGACGGGGAGGCGGGCCTGCTCTTGTGTTATAACTGTGAGTCTCCCTTTAACTCTGAACCTTTCAGTTGTTATTTGACACAGGTTCCTGTCCCTGCTGTCAAATCTAAGCATTTCTCTTACATAGCTCCTTTCTGTAGTATACAATAATTGTACAGAATGCTCCAAGATTTAAGAATACATAACCCTAACCCTTTACTGTCTGGATAAAAGGACAAATAGCTCTTGAAGTTTCTAAATTACAACAAAACGCAGCTATTAGGCCTTGTTTGAAACATAAACAGAAGAAGAAGAACCAGTTTTCTTGTCTTTCTCCAGATGTTTGTTACTATAAGAAAGTTTGTCCGTTTAACGGCTCTACACCGATGATCCAGTCCAACACCTCCGACTTCCACTTCAGCTGGAACCAGATGCCTAATGCTATCGGTATGTTACCACGGAAACAACACTTGGGCTCCACCCAGACTCTTCCTGCAGGCCTGGCCCAGAGCTAGCTGTCACCATGGAAACGCCATGTGTGGTCACAAGCATCCAATAGGCTTATGTGATTATTTTGTGTGTTTGTGTGTGTTTATGCACATGTGTCTGTGCTGGTGAATGTTTTTTTTTATTAATGCAGAAAATGATGAAAAGGGAACACAATTGGCACTAAACCTGTAACCCTGACCCCGTTGATAACATGTTGCGGCTCCATGCTCCTTTCTCTCAACACATAATGAGACACACAAACTCATACATTTTTACAAAGGCAATAACAAAAGGTGTGAAAAATATTGGAGAGCCTCTGCTACGCTCAGCAGTATGTTTATATTAACAACAAGCCTGGTTAAAACCCCACAAAGGGTTATCACCCAACGCTGAATGGGAGTTCTGTGTGTATCATTTTCGCATCATTTAGCTCCTTGTTTTTGTCTTTCATCAGCTGGTAAATTTAAAGTTTTTAATTCACTCTCGCTAATTTTTATCAACCTAATTTCCAGCTAAAACATCCGACTGTTTTCTGTGTTAAAAATAAAGCTAGCTCAGTTAAGCCCCAAACAACAGACATGCAACATTAGCAGTTAGCTGATTGACGAAGTTTAGCATTAGCAGCTTAAATGCCAGATGTTTCCCTCAGGAAACAACAAAACAAATCTTGTATACATTTTTGTAAAATTGCATGTTTGCACGCCAATTGTTCTGCTTCTTTACCATCCATTTGTTCTGTCTTTGCAGTTTGTGCATTCCCTTACATATTGGCCTTCACAACCGACTCCATTGAGATCCGGCTGGTGGTCAACGGCAACCTCGTGTACACAGCTGTAGTCCCAGAGCTACAGTTAGCAGCTTCACGGGTCAGTATTTAGCGAAGAAATTGTTCATCTATGCACCTAAAACACACATGATTCACTGAAGTAAGAGCCTTTAAAGCTGTGTGTATTTTTAATGTTAGTAGGCCAGACTGTGCGTTGTAAAAGTTGCTGTCTCAGCTCTCTTCTTTCAATCAATCTTTATCACCCTACTGGGAAATATGGCCAGCAATCTGCATGGCTTCAAAGCAATAATACATTCATTATTCATACACTCAGATGATATAAGAGAGACCACAGAACACCTGATAGAACACGTACCTTTTCCCCCTTCTATTTTTTCTCATTTGATCTTTTTGTATTTTTCTTTCTTTTGTCATGTTTTACCTTCTTACTCCAACCTTTCTGTCAAGTTATTTCCTTCAACATTTCTTGGAATCATTAACTATTCTTTGTGTCGCTTTACTGATATCTGTAATTCCTTCTTTTTCTCCACACACAGTCAGACATCTATTTTCTCTCGTCTGCTCCGGTGAGCTCAGCATCCAACTGCAGTTCGAGAGACACCAGTTCCCATAGTTCCCCACAGACGCCCACCGGCTACGAGATGCCTGTATTCCCATCGCCGCTTGGTGACGGTAAGCCCATCACAGTAGAAGCACAAGAGGATGTTGATATAAGTGCTTTGCAAGTAAGATTTCCAAATGTCAGCGTTGCCTGCAGATCTGTTTGACTTTGGGTGCTGCTGTGTTAGCTCCAGAGCAATTTACATGAACTACTGTGGTCTCAGCTGAAAGATTCATTGAAGGTGCAGCCTTTACCCTCAACAGTTCCCTCTTTTTTCAGTGGTAATTATGTGTAGTTTTCAAGGGCACCCTCCTACTGACATCATTTAGCCTTTATGGAAATGCATTCTTTTTTCCCTGCTGCCTAATGTGACACTGGAAATGATCTACATGTTCAGGAAGATTTCTGTCAATAGATTCCCCTTTCTTTCTTTCGTTCTTTCTTTCTTTCTTTTACTTTTATAATGCTATAAATATGGCCTAAGTATTAAGCCCTTAACCTTCCAATGTTATTAAATTTACATACCACAAAAGACGACCGTTTCCAACGCTTTATATTGATCTCTCACCAGCCAGCTCATTTCTTCCATTTATTTTAGCACAATAACTTTCAAGTTCTTTTGAGCCTTAAACTTGGTTTCAGACCATCAGTATTTAAAAGTACAGGTTTATAGCATATTCTACACCGTTGAGACTAAACAGCTGTCTTAGATAGCTCATAATTAAAAAAGGGAATGTCTTACACTTCTAATGTCACTGCTACCTTTGTCCCTGAGAGCCCGAGTCATTTTAAAAGTTTTAACTGATGGTGTGTTCAAGGACCCCGGCTAGGAGTGCTTGATAAATAAAATTGTCAGAACAAAAGGCATGAACAAGACCAAATCAATTATATTATTAATTCAAAACATTTGAAAAAGCAATTATTTTTAATGTCAGGTATTTTTAAATACAAAATATACCTTCCTAACTACTTTACTATATCTATATAAGTATGGTTTGGTTTCTTGAACTCATCCAGCAAACTTAAAGTAAAACAGCCAGGCTCTTAGTTTTTAGCAGCTTCTCTGTTGGATAGATTTTATGGTCTTTTCATGATGTTTGTTGACAACAAGAACTGTCTTTTCTGATTTTGCTTTTGAATAGCTTACAGTCCCATTATGGTGCATCTTTGAAGACATCTACTATGATCAATTAATTATATGGTTGCAAAATAGCCAGATATTTAATCGAAGAATGAATGATATGAAAAAATAGTTGGCTGTTAAATTAATGTAATTTGTGGCAAGACAGAGCTACAACTTTCCACATAAAAATATGATTTTTAAAACTCTTACAAGCCACCAATTACCCAAAATAGCAGTGTATTCACCCACTTAGTCAACCCACCACCATTCAAGGGACATAGTAAGTGCCTGCGGAAGAAAAAGAAGGCTTTCATGATTGAGGATCAATACGAGTCCCTCCCTCCAACCACCAGCCCTTTCACTCCCTACTCCATCTTTTATTGAGTTTTTGACCAGTTGGAGTCTCCCCTCCCCCACCAGCTGACCTCTTTTAGATTGTTACTACTGTCTGTAAATGGGGCATATTTGTGATGCACTACTGTCGTTAATGGCATACAGGTTTATCATTCAGCTTATGGATCACGGCAATGTCACCTTGTCGTTTGTCATTAGACTCTCTAGCCTTTAAAAGTGACACAAAGTCATCCTCAGATGCATTTGTGTGATTCTTACTGCTGCAGTGAAGGACAAGGCCTCAGAAAACAATTATTATAATGTGCAGTGGCTGCAGCTGCTCCATCGAGGCAGATTTTCTCTGTTTTCCTGAGGGGAGCAGGTATTTACAGGTCCCATTAAGGCTAACAAGGAGGACGGTTTGTCTGTCGCTGCTGCAATTAGCAGAGGACGGGCTTTGTGCTTTTAGGCTGATTCTGGTAATCTTTTCTCTCAAAGGGATTGTAATTTTCTTTCTTGTTTTAGCTGGTTATGCATATAATTCTGCATAATTCACCATATAGTCACTCAGGGGATGTCTTCATCTTGAATCACGATCAGGGTGGGAAGCTCTGTTGTGTTTTGGCTTAAGACTGAAAGTTTTCTAAATCTGGGGAGTCTGACAACAGTTATCATTTCACCATTTCCTGATTACTCAGTATTTGGAAACATCCCTGATCGTGAAAATTTGGATAGACCTCAGGAAATATTTTAAATTTAAACAACACATTTGAAAAACCATTAGACAACAGCTGATGTAGAAACTCACACACTTCCATCTAATATTACATTAGCTAGGAAATTGTTGATTTGGATACTGCTTTATGGAAGCAAATGGCTAATCAAATACTGTATGTTGCTTTTACAAAGTCAAGTCTGTTTCCTATTAAATAATATGACACGTTAAGTGTCTGCTACCTCTCACCCAGCAGGATTGCTAGCTAGGAGGTTCCTGAAAGCTAACAGTAGAAGTTAATTCTGTCAATATTTCCAGTTGTGTCAAAGGCACTTTCAAAAGTTGGTGTTAGCATTCAGCTACCTGAATGCTAAGCTGTTGTCTGACAGCAGCTAATTGGTCTGTTGGTTTATTTCATTTACAAAGATAGATCTGTTAATGCCTTTTATAATGTATCTTTGAACTCTTAAATGTAAAGTTAGCATTTAACTCCCTCTTAGCTGAATTCTAACATTAGCAGTTGTCTGGCAATAAATTAGTTATTGAAAACTATTTTTATTTTCTTCAATTTAAGTCTGTTAAAGCCTTAGATACTGTATTATATAAGGCCCAAAGTTTATGAATCATTCTTAGCCAGTGACTTATTGGTTATCAAATATGATGTTTTTAAAAAGTTAAGTAAGTCAATGTCAATCCTTACTTAGGCTATCATCACTTTCCTAAGGTCAATCATCATTTAGGCCTAGCGCTCTCTTGCTAATGGTAATTTAAGCTAGTAGGTGGCTGAATGCCAACACTATTGTCTGCTCTAGTAATTTGGTGACTAGGTTGTTTTAACATGAAATATTGAATGATGTAACTCCTAGTTTTAATTGTGTCTGTTTTTTTACATTCTGGAAGCAGTGAAATTAGAATAATTTGTCATATTTGGTACATTTCTAGGATTTACAGTCTGGAAACCAGCAGTATGACTTTATATCAGCATTTAAGGTTCCCACCCTTAGAATGATAACAAATTAAAAAAATGGCCACCATGTGAATTGGTGTCAATTGGACACCTACTGTGTTTGTGTGTCTTTGTGTGTTTGTGTAAATGTGTTCCTAGTGTATGTTACCCTGTGTGTTCAGTTTTGTAACCCTCTTCTTCATCCCTGGTTCAGATTCAATACGGATCCCCTATGGTACCAAGCTTTCCCTGTACATGTCTAAGGACGCCGAAGGTACTGCAGGATTCTCCCACATGTTTCCTAAGTCCATTAAACCCTCACAATGCTGCCCCACTAACACGCACACGCTCCCAGAGTGCATCACCCTGTCTGCTCCTCCACAGCGGCATGTTGACTTGAACGTTGGTTGAATGTTAAGTGAACATCATGTCTTCCCCATCCCCCAACTTTCTGTCTTAACTAATTAAAGCATTAGCACAAGGAGAGAGTGAGAGAGAGGCAGAAAGGTGATAAAGTGCAAAGTACAAAAGTGAGGCAGAGGAGATAATGTCGATCAAAGTGGATGGTTTCGAAATTACAAGGAGAGATGGTATGCATGAGTGAGGGACAAAACAGGGAGGGGTTGTGTACATGCAGTAGGTTGGGAGAAAAAGGGAAATGGGGAAGGAGAAGACACGTCTGCCGCAGCATGATTTACAGATTGCACTGTCGCCATGGAGACTTTTGTCAGCCCTCTCTTCGATCCAAAGTGGTAGTCCAAACAGTGGTGCCACAATCTGAGCAGGGTGAGGGTGGGGGGTATAGCAGCAGTAGGAGGAGGAGGGGGAAGAACAAGTGGAAGGGGTGCTGACAAAAATCCCATCCTCTTAACTGCCTGTGCGCCCGCTGTATCTGATCCTTGGGGAGGGATTTATCTGATGTAATCTCATCAGTAATGTGAACAAGATGCTGTTACTGATGAGGCTGCTTACTTCCATCCACCTCCATCCATTGGTTTAAAAAAAACCTGGGGCATTTTTCTTCAATTAGTGCTCAAAATTTCAGTTTTTAACATGGAGTGAAGTGATGGAGTTTTGACCCTTTCCCTGGTCCAGAAACGCATGAGGAATATATTGATCTCCATGTCTTTATATTCCAAATAACTGCACGTTTTCTTGCTTTTTGGGGGGTTATTATGTTGTTGCTGTATGACATTGCAGGTAAAGCAAAGAGGATCTGTAACAACACTTACACAGTGTACCTGTCAAACATCAGCAGTGACCCTCTATTATTCCCCATCGCTCCTCACTCACCTCTCATCCGCTGGCATTTCAGATGAGTCGCTCTTCTTTGTGCAGCCCCAGCATCCACATTAAGTCAATCTGATCCAATGTTACTATCTGCCAGTCTCAGTGGAGCACAGTGTACCTGATGAACTGCAGCACTGCTCCTGTTGGCGTCTGTTGGAACTGCAGGCTTGCAAACTGCAGCTTTTTTGTGGGCTTTTCTTTCTTTTTTTTTGTATTTGCCACAACAACAAAAAAAAAAAAACCTACTTTAAATTTGTCCCAAACCGATTTTAAGTGTTTATAGTCTCTGCTGAATAATCCATGGTCTGCTATAAATGGCTGCAATTTAATAGTTATGTTACATTACCTCTCAGCAGTAAGGATGATTAACTTTAAGATGACAGGACCATTCATCACTTTAGATTAGCTTCATTTGACTATCAGATTGACAACCTTCAGAAATGTAAAATTACAGTGACAGTGTAATTACAGTTACAGAGTGTATGATTGAGGGAGAGGCTTTTGTTTTATGTTACTTTGTTTGTTTTAGACGATAAACTACCAATCTCACATGAAGCAACTTTGTGGAATTTGAAGATACAGTCACAAAGCTTTCGGAAATCTACAGCCAGCCAAAACAGAACATTTACTGCAAAACTTCTTTGTGTGTATTTAAAGAATTACTTTTACTAAGTGAGCGTTAGAGGTCCTGTTTTGTTTCCTTTTGAGATATACTTTACAGATGGTCAGATTCAAGTTAGCTTCTTTTAGTGGTCCTTGTCTTTAGGCTAAGGTAAGCTCACTATGTGCAGGCTAAGGTTTCATATTTAGCACAGCCTACAGACTTGATGGTGTGGGGACATTCCAACCCAGTTCTCCCATCTGCTATAGGACGCAAGACTAATGTATTTTGGAAATAATTAAAATACATGTACGATGATTAAGTGTTCATTGAAAGTCTTGGCATGCTTTATCTGTGTTCGTAACTAATGAGCTATACATCATGCAAAAACACTTAAGTGCTTCAGTTTCATGCATTTCTCATGATCTGTCACTTTTTGACATTTTATTTTTGCTCCTATCAATCATCATCTTTTTTTTCTTGTCTTCTTTTGTTGCCTGCCTCCTTCCTTCTTCCTGACTCTCTCCAACGCTCTCTTGTTTTTCCCCCCTTCTTTTCTCCCTCTGGGTTCCTTCCTTTCAGGTGAAGCATCATGTAAACACATGTTCAAGATCCCTCTCTGCAACTTGGTGGGCCGCAGCATCGAAAGACCCCTGAAGTCCCCTCTGGTGAACAAGGTGCTGACTACGCCGGCCCCAACCATGGTTCCTCCAACTCCCCTCATCTCTGCCTCACACTCGTTGTCACTGTCCCGCATGGAGATCAAGGAGATAGCCAGCCGCACACGGAAGGAGTTGCTCGGTAAAATCAAATGTTTACTTTTTGATAGTGAAGCTTTACAAAAAATGTTTCAACTAGTTTTACTGTCTGAAATATTTGCTCTTTGGATTTCTTGCTATGAATATAATGATATTCTTATTTCTGTGCACTTAACAGCTAGCAGCATGATATTTCAGCTTGGCTAAATTAGACCAGCTTGTAACAAACACTGGAAGAAATAGGGACTAGCTAGCTATGGTTTGTCCAAATGTTTAAATAAAAACACATTCAGAAACCTGTAAAGTTTTCTAATTAACATTTTACATGCTTAAACATTTCTTTGGCGAGAAGAAATGGAACAAACTAGCAATAAAAAAGTAAATATTGAGTTTACGAGGTGCTCTAATTGGGACATTTTTAACCTTCTGAATGAGTCAGGCTGGCTGTTCTCACTGCAAAGCTAAGCCAATTCTTGTCAAGAGATTTAATAAGTGTCATAAACGTTTTCTGTTACTTCATTCCAAAAAGGCTTGACGGAGGAGCCAAGTGGGAAGCCGGACAGTGGAAGCGTCAAACAGAGGAAGATGAGCAAGAAGAACACAGAGGAAGAGCCCAAAGCACGAGCACTGACCTCGACAAACAGTGACAGGTGATAGTGATGGATAAGAGAAACACTACATGTACATTAAACAGTTGCTAAATGTTCCATAGGCGTGAAATGTATCTCTTTGTCCTCAACAGGTTAGCCTCAGAGTCAGTAGAGTCCGACCTGGACGTCCAGCTGCATTGTTCATCCAGTTCGGAGGCGGAGCCAGAGAAGGTGGTGCTGCTAGCGGAGAGCCCGACTCTGGCTAACGCCTTCGCCCCCTCCACATCCTTCGAAGAAGATGTCCTGGACCTAAAGTGAAGACAATCCCATCGTACACTTCTCTGCCCTCGCGCTCCTGTACTGTCACCATTATTTAATAGTTTGGGTTGGTTTGCTTTTGATTTGTTGTTTGTTGATTTCCTTTAAACATTATGTTTGTTTATATCCCTGAATCTTGGGGTCTCCCCATTCATCAGACAAGATGGGTGCATTGGGAGTTAGAAGACGTGTCTGAGTGCTTGTTTGTTCTCACGAGCAGTCCCTCTGCCACTGTGTGATGTTTGTGTTGCCCCGCAGCAAATTACCCAAAGAGGCTATGAAGTTGCTGTGCGAGACGACATGGTTTATTCAGAGTTCTGCAACAGCCTTGAGGTAATGCTAACCATTTGATCCCGAACCACAAACTGAATGTAAATCTGCACACCGAGGCAAGACAAAAACTTGTTCCCAATGCCGTCTGAAGTTGCTTATTATGTGTTGTATATTATGTGATTATTTCCAATCCACTATCAAATACTGTATGATATGCATATGTATGTGTACATCTGTTATACATGGAAATGTTCACAGTGACAGGTGTGTATGCCTGTGATGCATATTTATAGATATATTATAAAAAAAAACAATTTTATTCCCATATTAAGTAAAAAAAAAAATGTTTTATTCTATCTGCACATTTAAGTCCTTTTTCCTCTCCTTTTCACAGTTTACAGGTAGACAGGGCTGGAGGCAAAGTCTCCCACAAGTGCCATTTCCCAGCATCCTCCACTGAACTACACCTCTAACAGCCACCATATTATGGTGTCTTTACAGTAGCAGCCATGATTGTAGTCCACATTAGATTACTCTGGTGACCCACAACTGCATTCACACATACATTTAGCAACCGGAGGCGCTCTCTAAAAGCCACATGCACTCAACCTTGAATCTGCATGATCTTTGCCTTTGCTACAAGTATTGTATCTTCTGCGCCAAAAGAAATAGCTTCTTTGGAAACCAAGAGGTCAGCGGCAACATACCAAACATGACTGCATAGAGAGAACCACAAGCTGAGATCAAAGACAGGTTGGATGTGAAAAAAACAAAAACGGAAATACTTTTTCCATCTAAACTGTAAGAGGTACAATATGAATATGAGCAAGGGAGGAACAATCTAAATATAAAAGGCAATGTTAAAGCTAAACTTTGTTAATCTCACTGAAAATGTCAGTGAAAATTACTGTAAAATATACTTAGCTCGTTTTTTCTTTTCTGTATTTGGAAGGTGCTGAAAGTTAGTCCATTTTAAGTGTTTTTTATTATTTTACATAAAAAAACGAGAGATTCATTGTTTAAATTGCAGTGTGCACAATTTAAAAAACAAAATACAGAAAATGACTGAGTTTTGTGATTATGCCCCAAGATTTTATTTTAAACAACCTAAAATTTAGACCTACAATTAACTAAGACGAGTGTAGAACTCAAAATAAAATTGTGTCAGTTAAACCAAAAATAAGCTTCTATGAAAGTCTACTAAAGCTTAAAAACAAAATAAACTATTAAGGAGACATCACATCAATGGCTGGAGGCTGATGCCTTAAAGCAAACATTTCTTTTCTTTTTTTTTAAGGTTTTCATTGCTCGTCTGGGTCTGGGGAGCCCACAAGCCTTGCTGGTTTTTATTCCTTATGTCCAATAAAACACTGATTTGTAGCTGTTACATCTGGAGCAGGGGTGAAGTCGTGAATTGTGGGCCATTGTCGACGGCACCAGGGACACTCGAATCTACTATCCAAATTTTCTTTGACAACCAGCTAAACTTGTCTTAAAAAAAAAACACTGATGGCAGCTGTTTAAACCATAACCAAATGTTAACTGGTCATCTTTCATCTTAGAGCTTTCTTACTTACACAAATGTTTCTGTTCTAAACTAACACCAATCATCATCATCATCAACACTCGAACCTCTAAATGTTTGGCCCATTCAGTATATTTTCAGATAAACTAATTGTCTTTATCTTTGTTTATATATTAACATATATTCAAGGTTTTCTTTAAGGATTTTTCCCCAAAGCACATGAACCGACAGAATATTCATTGTTCTCACTCAATGCGTTAAATATGTTTGAACAACTTCCTCTTAATCGCAAAATTTTGACATCTAAAGGATGTTTTCCCTATAAAATATTTCACCAAATTGCTTCAGTACAAGCATAACATATTTCAATAAAAGCATTTGTGAGGATCTTTCAGTTTGTCTGGATTTGGAAGAATCATGTGTTTTGTAGTCCCATTTTAAGCTTCGTTATCTGAATGTGGTCATCCTTGAATCTCTATCTAAGATGACTTACATGGTCCTGGATAGCAAAAGAGATTTGATTTTTAAAATCCAGAACTCTTTTGAATAATTTGGCCCAATGTGTCAGCAGCCAGTTATACCAACTCAATTTCACCAGAAAATATTGAATTTATCGTACTCTACTTTGTACTGAGTATTGAGGAAGATTAATCGGTCCGGTGAGTCCATATGAAAAACTTTCCCAACTTGAAAAAGGGAAATTGTTTCGCCTAATCAACACTAGACAGTCAGTTAAATTGAGCAAATGCTTTGACAGGCAGAGCAACAAACTGGGAGCTGTGGTTCTGACTATGCATATGTTGGTATGAGAGCGCCTCTCTGTGGTGGTTTCACAACACAGCAGCCTTCAGATCTTGCATGAGCCACCCCCTCTTCCTCCTCCTCCTCTTGATTCCCCTCTCTCCTCTCCTCTGCTGTCTTTTCCTGTCTCAGTGTGCACCCCTCCAACACTATAACACAACTCAGAAAAACTTTTTTAAAAAAAAGGAAGAAGAAGATGAAAAACGGGATGGGGGGATTTTTACAAAGGTACTCTACTTTACTGTTTATTACTCTGAATGAGTGCGGGTGACTGTGGAGATGTCTGGCTGTTACAGTTTGTAACATTGCTTCTCCCACTTCTAATGTTCCTACTTCTCCTGCGTTTTCTGTTGAGTACTCTTTGTTCCTACCTCCCCTTGGCATTTTCACTGTTTATTTGTTTGGTTTTGTTTTTGTATTTGAATCTATATTTACTGTTTAGACTGTTGCTGAACCTCTCTGTGATATCAAAACGAAAGAAAATGAACAAAAAAACACCAAGTGTCTTAAAATATTGTATCGCCATCGTTTTTAATGCCAAGTACTACTTGTAAATGTTTGTGTATCAAATGTGGCCTCAAATGAAACTGAACTATATTATTATTATTATTATTAATATTATTATTATTATTTGAGCAATTATTTTAAACAAGTGCTGTAGACCACTGCTGTGAAAGTAGTCGATTCTGTTCATTGATATGTAATAAATATTTATGGAATTTGAACTGCTACTTTTGTTTTTATTAACCAGATTATATTTTACAATGACAAAGTTTAACAATTTGTCTTTATTCATTTTGAAATAATCAGTTACCTAAAACAGGGGATCCCAAACTTTTTAGCCCCAAAATAACGATGCTAGCAACTGGGGACCACCATTATCCTTGGAGGTGTTAAAAACATCTGATGTTGCACCCGGCCGGGCACACTATTAGGCCTATAGAAATAGTGGCATTAGACAGCACAAAAGAACACAACAGCCCAACATGTAAGATTATTTTAGAAATGTATTGTTAGAAACGCTAGAAGCAGAACCCACGAAATCTCTTGAATCATTTTTTAAATATATTTTCCCAATATTGGATAAGATATGCTATTTTAAATGTGTATATTTTTTTGGAATACATCTTGCCACCCCCCAGGAAAAATCCTCAAGTCATAGAGATGTATCCGGGAATCATGAATGTATGCACCAATTTTGACTTATTTGAACTCATTGCGCCACAAGCCAAAGTTTCTTATTTCAAGCACTCGTTTTCAATTATGTTTAATTGAGCATTTTTTGCAAAGCAGACTCAATTTAGACATGTCTTGGAATATCTCATCTTTCATCTCTTTGAAACTTGCCATAGCATTATGGCATGAGACTCCAAGATTCAATCATCCACACACAAAGGAAAATCTGTCTACCATATCTACTGTATGTGTCTCTATGATCCAATTTAGCTAATTTACTGTAATCATAAAAATAAAAAAACTAACTACCACCTGTGCGGCGATAATCGCTCATTTGGAATTTAGGTGTGATTATGCGGGAGGATTACAGAGTTTGTTCCACCAGAAGGTGATGGTTGAAAACATTTGGATGTTAATTGACAGTGGTTGAAAATGATATTGAAATGATATTGAAATGATAAATAAATAAGTGGACTCAAGTTCTGTGCTGAAGTACAATTTTGAGTTATCTGAAATGTTCCTGAGTATCTCCAATATACTGTTTAATTTCACTCACTATTAAATTCTGTACCTTTTTCTCCATTACGTATATTCTAAAGCCTTTTTGAAAGTAACTGGTTAGTAATCAAACCATGAAGTTGCAGGCAAACAAATTAAAAACCTAAATATGGAAAAGATTCTGGACATAATTCTCTTTAGGTTCAACACTTCAATCAAAAAGTCTCATTATGGTGTCGTCTGCATAAAATTACCTTTCATACCAGTAACATTGCAATAAAGTGATTGAATTGAATGAAATGTATAAAGATCCAGAATAGACCCTTGTGGGATACCATTTTTTTGGTGTCCCACAAGTTTGTTGTTTTGTTTTAAGTCAAGGCTGAACACTTGTTATAAGTGCAGCCACCAGGTGGGGATGAATATCAATTTGATGTTTCATTGTAGTTTCTTCATTCTTTCTTTTGTGAGTCCTCAACAGGGTGAGTCAGGCCTGGCAGCTCTGAGTATGAAGACGGAGAAAAAAGAAAAAGGAAAAGTGAAGTATAAGGTGACATTGTACAGACAGGTTTAGACGACCACACCACTGACGCCTACATAGGAAATACACACACCCCTGAATCCCTGCATTAGCTTTATGTTTCACAGAGATAATATGTTTTGTTAATGCTCATTCACTCAGAGAAAAGGGATTATGAGTTTCCAGAACTCCTACCTTCTTGGGGTTTGTTATATTTATTTTGTTTGGATAACATCTCTATAATCACAAAACATTCCAGCTCTGTAATTTCAAATTACTCATCACTGCTAGGAAAATCACTGGCAATGGGATAACTGGGCATACATCATATCAGGGGTTTGGAAGAATTGCCTGAGGACAAACACAAGTCACACAGGAGTAATAAAAATCAACCAGCCTAAGAAAATGTTGTAACTGATGGAAAACACTTCACTGATATTGTTACAGGTGATTTGCGTAGGATGACATGCAGACAACAAAGTTTTGTAATAATATTTGGCTTGAATGCATGCCTGAGCACTCTCGTGTCTGCCAGTACGTCTGTCTATAGTTGCCAGCTACCCTCCTGGCCCCTCAGGATATGACTGTGAACACAAACACAGCCAAAGGTCTTGCATAATAGCTGGAGGAATGCTGGAGCTTTGCCGCAGACTTCTGAATCATCTCACATAGACTGGACCTTTTTGGGGCCCGGTCCCCCTGATCAACAGAATAAACTGTGTACACACTACTGGCCAAAGACCATGAAGAATTAACAAAAATAAATCAACTTTGTTGCATATCTGAATTGTTTTATTGCCTACAAAAATGTATCTTAGAAACAACACTGTTTACATGCAACTGAATAATAAATAGTTCAGAAAAAACTTTAAATACAGTCTTTTGTTCAATTGAGCAATTTCATGAGAGACAAGGCCTTTTTTTCACAGATATGTCTAAGTTTCTTTCAAAACAAGTTATTCTAAGATTTATTCTCAGTCCACAGGCTACGTAAAGATTTTTCTTTTTTTCCTTAAAAACTACTTAAAGACAGTTTCTTTCACACATCAAGAGCATCTAGATTTATTTCACTGACTGGGATTAAATTTCCCAACACACCTTCAGTCATTATGCCAGAATCTGCTGAGATTTAATTGAACATGGCACAACAAGACAATAGATGGAATATCCCCACAGGAAACAGATGAAGTTATGGAGGGTACTGCATCACACAGATGAGGGTCTTTGCTATGTGTAAACACACACACACACACACAAGTGGCAGGGATGAACAAACAGTGCAGTACTGGAAACATTTCCCAAGTGGCTTAAACCTTATGTTTTGTTGGTGAGTTTTTGATTCCATATAAGCAAAAGCTGGTTAAAAAAACGAGCAAAACAACCTTCATTTTCATTTTAAATACATGAGTCATGTTTGACTTTAAATACATTTTTAGACATTCTCACATTTGAAGTTTGTAAATTAACAATAAAATACTGACAAAACCAACCAATACCCTGGCTGTGGTGTTTAACTACACCTTTTATTGCATAGACATTCTTGTCTTTTATGCTCTCCCTCCAGGAGGCCTCTCAGGTATCCTCCTCTCCGTTTTTTTCCGACAGGCCACAAATCCTTCCTTCAGGCCAGAACACCACCTCAAGGTTCGGTTTCTCAATTCTGAAACCTTATTTAAGCATACGCTGCGACTAATGTTAGGATCTGCAGAGCCATAGAGATGCAAGGAATCTGTGCAACAGTGTAGGCCAGAGAGCGAGTGGGTGCTCGCAGGGCACACAGGTAGGCGACGCTGTGCAGAACTCGACCCACGAAGAAGACCAGGAAGTGAAGGCGGGCCACAGCTAGCGAGGGTCCGGTCATGGAGTAGATGGCACCCAGGAAAAGGAATGGGAGGATGTTCTCCATGTCATTGATATGAGCTCTACAAGAAAAGGAAACTGATTAAGTAACACTTCATTTTCCGATATTTTGTAATTGTGTGACTCGGCTTTTAATGATGAAAGTGACTAAAATATTTCTCATTCACTTTCATGACTCGTTCAATTCTGAATTAGGTCATTTTTCAGCATCTTTAATTGGAGAACGCGCGACCTGACTTACCTAACAATGGGGATTCTGTCATTTCTCAGTACGGTTACTCATCATGATAATTAACAGCTCTGACTTTCTCCTTTTTGGCAGCTCAGTCAGACTACTACATCCTGCTTCCTCTCCACCCACTGCTTTCAACATTTCAACATTATGTTAAGAAACGAGCCCTGTTCACAGTTCTTAAAGAAACAGTACTTACTGTAACCATAATAAGCCTGGAAATCTTATTTTCCCCAAAAGCAATGTTGAATTACCAGGATTTGAAAAGGTACTTTGGGATTTGAAACTGTCCATTAACAGAGAGTTGTTTCCTGTTACAAGGTTGTCGATGAACCAAGTCAGACAAATTACAAAACAAGAGGAAAAAGGTTTTTTCTACATCGCAAAATAAAAAAATGTGGCCTTTCTTGCTGCTGTCACGGATCATTTTCTGACAAGTTAAAACAACGCAGTGAAGCACGGTTCCTGCAAGCAAACACATCTGATGGGAAATCAGTTGCATAAATCACAAATACAATGAAGTATAGGAATAAAGTAGTATCACTTGGCACATGTTTGAGTACTGTGAGCATAATAGTATTATTTTTTTTGCTTCCTCAACTATTTCTATTTTTTTCCTATTTTTTTGCTATCCTTGCTTTTCGCTGCTGTAACACTGTAAATGTCTCTGTTGTGGGACAAATAAAGGTTTATCGTACCTTATGCAGAAGTTTAAAAGAAACTACCAAAGACATAAACCCTTGATGCTCCTCAAACACCATTTGAATTTTTAAAATAACCCTTTTAGTGACTGGGTTGTTAAATGGAGTCATGTAGAAAGTGTAGTGCAGGAAATATACAGTATGGAGTTTATGATGCTAGTAGTACATTTACTCAAATACTTCAGTAAAGTACACATTTGAGAATTTTGTATTGTCACTTAATTATCAACTACACTTCAGATGCATATATGAAGCACATTCACTCCAATACCATTATTAAAATCTTCCATATGATAAGCTTATTTAATATCACTGTAATGTATTTTCAAACCCAACAGTTTGACACCCAAACTAGTAACTGGTGCTTAAGAATTACTACAGTATGCAACTACAGTATGCATCAGAAGTCATTCTCTGTGTTGACTAGTACAAATTCTGCAAATGTGTTTCTACTTAAATATCTACAGTCTATGGTCATCCTTTTTTTTTTTTTTTTTACAAAAACGATCTAACCATTTTTTCATCCGCTGCCTCTGCCTCACTCAGAGAGTCTAAATTGTTAAATCACCTAAACTGTAAAGGTTGTTTCAGCAGATTGATTTTAATCCCTTCATCCAACACATAGACGGACCCTGCTGCAGTGCTTAAAGGCATAACAAATAACTGCTGATATATTATTATTTACAGTCTATGGTATAGGCCTATAGAAATAATCAGTATTATGCTGATGGTCACTTTATACTGGTTAGTTCTGAACAAAATCAAACAGCCACGCTTTATACTGGTATATATGTGTCTCTGTTAACTAATGTAAAGAATATGTTGTTGTTTTGTCATTACTTGTTGTATTGGTTTTTGCTTGTCATCATGGTTTTATGTAACTTTGTTTACCTTTTTACCACCAACCTGCCAAGGGACTACAGATGGAAAGTAGCCTATGGCTGTAATCTGGCATTTACATGTTTATGTTTATTAATGTGCGCTGTCACTACTTAAATAAATAAATAAATAACATTTCAGTCTGGTACATAGCTAGGAAAAAACCCTGCAGGAGCTTTAAGCAATACTTTACTCAAACTTGTACTGTATCATTTTTAAAGTGCAGTTCTGCTTCTTTGAACCTGTCAATCAAGTCAATAAAGTTAAGCAGCCTAAACTGTAAAAATATTCTTCCACCCATAGGATGAGTGGATGACAGAATGCATTGTTGCCAAAAAAAAAAGTCGGTGTATTATTTCTTATGGATACAGTCACTAAGAACACAACTCGTTTTTTTCTGTTTTTGTTTTTTTAAGTAAAAGCAAGTTATGACAGTGTCAAACTTTCTGTTCTCTCTCACCTCCGGCATCTTTCCACGTACGGGTCCTCTCTGTGAAACTGTAAACCTCCGTGTCTCAGCGCGTCCTCCGGGTTCGCAAAAGCCTTTAGGAGAGAAAACTTCTTATTAGTGAAAGTTCCAGATGAGACTTTGTTTCCACATCAGCTTTCCTTCTTTGAAACAGCCACTCACCTTTTTACGCAGCCTCGCTTGTCCTGTTATAATCGCAATGATGTACATTTTTATCACCAGAAGCACGCTGTAGAACACAAAACAGGAGAAAACTTCATTTTTTATCAAAGCCGCCATGTTTTGTAAAAGAAAAAAATACTTTCAATAATCCAAACTGAGTTTTGTGACTGCGTACAGCTGTAAGAAAGTGAGAGTGAGCTCACGGGGAAAGGCTCTTTTCTAGTATTTGATTGATGATGCCATCGCCCACTCACCCAATGATGATCCCAGGTTCAACGGAAGAGGCTGCCTGTTGCATTCATCACTGCGAAGAGAGACGAATACCTTGGCACGCGAAAAATGAGCTCCCCCAGGCTACAGTCAACTAGTCACGTTGTCTGTGGTGTATTCACACTTTTGACTTTGAAGAATCTGAATACTCCGTCAGAAGGAAAGGCATCATGATGAAGAGTTGTTACATTTAGTAAAGTAGACAACGAAATGGTAAAATATAAAAGTAACAGTAGGCTACAACAAGAAAAAGATACGACAAGAGAAACTTTGATGTCCTGTTTCTTACGATTGAATCATTATTTCAGAATGAATATGTTGTGTCATTTTTTAAAGAGAAGGCTACATTTCACTACATTGGTCACACTGAGTATGTCATGGTGTTAGTTTCTGATGCATTTGGTGTCACTTTGTGTTTGTTTCCCCTCCTTCTGTTTTCTGTTTTCTCTCTTGCAGTGTGTGTGCAGTGGAGGGCGTGGCTGGCTGAGCTGGAACGAGGAGCACTTGAATCTCAGCAGGTCATCACTCAGGCTTTAAAGGACAGATCGAGACTCAACTCCTGTGCCAGATTATTCCTTTTGCAGTCGCCTGCCGGTGAGCCTCACCTCCTTGCTTTGGATTTCTGTTTGGCCTTGCTGTTTTTTGAGTTCTCCTGCGCCAGCCCGTCCTCTATTGCCACCAACCGCCTTAAGCCTTTTATTTTGCTACAAGCTACATTAAAACGTCTTAAAAACTGACTTTTGTTTCCGTGTTCTGCATTCTGGGGTCCAAACCCTTAAACTCAAACGTAACAGAATAATCTGGCCATTATGGACCCCGCAGAGACGGATAAATTAAGGCAACCGCTATCTAACCAAGGCACTCGTGTTGGCCAATCTGCGAAATTATGGACAGTCTTCAGACCCTCACCACCAGCGTTTCCAGCTCGGCGGTCGCCTGGAGCAGATCATCTCAAGCATTGCTTCTCCTGTGGATCCTCAGGCTTCGTCTGCTCCATTGGCTCCTCCTGCAGTTCCTCCAGCCTCTCTGCCCAGCCATACCGGGAGCCTACATCCGTTCTCCAGCCAGGTATTTGGGTGAGTTAGGGACATGCAGACAGTTTTTGCATCAGTGTTCCCTAGTGTTTGATCAGCAGCCCCAAACCTATGCTAACGATAAGTCGAAGATAGCATTTATCATGAGTTTACTCTCTGACCGAGCTTGGGCTTGGGCTCGGGCTTTATCGATTTCCTCCTATGATTCAGTTGTCACTCAGTCCTCTCCAAGGCTGTGCACTTCGTCCCCCTGGCAAAACTCCCATCAGCTCTAGAGACCGCTAACCTCCTTATCCAGCATGTGTTCAGACTCCGTGGCATCCCCCAAGATTTGGTCTCCCTGACTGTGGTCCTCAGTTCTCCTCTCAAGTCTGGAAGGCTTTTTGCCTGGCATTTGGGGCGTCAGCCAGCCTCTCGTCTGGATTCCATCCACAGACCAACGGCCAGACAGAACGGGCCAATCAAGACCTAGGGTCAGCGCTACGATGCGTCGCTTCCAGACACCCTGCCTCTTGGGCCACCCATCTACCCTGGGTGGAATATGCCCACAACTCCCTGGTTAGCTCAGCCACGGGCATGTCACCATTTATGGCTTCCATGGGCTTTCAACCTCCCCTGTTCCCTGTCCAGGAGAATGAAGTTGCCGTCCCCTCTGTCCAGGAACAGCTTCGGCGTGCCCGCAGGGTCTGGTGGGAGGTTAGGGCAGTCCTCACACGCACTGCGGTCCGGAATCAACGGTTAGCGGATCGACATCGCACTCCTGCTCCCAACTACCAGCCAGGCCAGAAGGTTTGGCTCTCGTCTCGGGACATCCCTCTACAGATGGAGAGTAGGAAGCTCGCTCCCAGGTACATTGGTCCGTATGAAATTTAGAAGGTAATCAACCCCAGTATGATGAAACTGAAGTTACCTCCAGCGCTAAGGGTTCACCCTGCCTTCCACGTGTCTTTGTTGAAACCTGTCTCCACCAGTGCTCTGAGCCCTCTGGCCGAACCCGCTCTGGCCCCGCAGCTCATCGACAACCATCCTGCTTACTCGGTTCGGCGGCTGCTGGACGTGCGCCGACGTGGCAGGAGGTATCAGTACCTGGTGGATTGGGAGGGGTACGGTCCGGATGAGCGGTCCTGGGTATCTCGTTCCATAATTTTGGACCCAAGACTCATTCGAGACTTTTATCAGGACTTTCCGGATAAGCTGGGTAGGCCGGCAAGAGGTGTCTGTTGGGGGGGGGGGAGTAATGTCATGGTGTTAGTTTCTGATGCATTTGGTGTCACTTTGTGTTTGTTTCCCCTCCTTCTGTTTTCTGTTTTCTCTCTTGCAGTGTGTGTGTGTGCAGTGGAGGGCGTGGCTGGCTGAGCTGGAACGAGGAGCACTTGAATCTCAGCAGGTCATCACTCAGGCCTTAAAGACAGATCGAGACTCAACTCCTGTGCCAGATTATTCCTTTTGCAGTCGCCTGCCGGTGAGCCTCACCTCCTTGTTTTGGATTTCTGTTTGGCCTTACTGTTTTTTTAGTTCTCCTGCGCCAGCCCGTCCTCTATTGCCACCAACCGCCTTAAGCCTTTTATTTTGCTACAAGCTACATTAAAACGTCTTAAAGACTGACTTTTGTTTCCGTGTTCTGCATTCTAGGGTCCAAACCCGTAAATTCAAACGTAACAGAGTAAAGGATTTCCTGTCAGGCTGCTAGCAAAATATGGGTGTCTTGTTGGTTGTCAAACAAGGAAATTTCCCATGGCACTTAAGATTGGTGCCATGATTTGGTACCTTGGTTGCTCAAGTTTAACCAAGTATTTCTATAATGTTGTTTTAGTCTGCCCTAATTTAAAAACGCGTTGCTTCTTTTTGATTTTCAGTGACCAATTTTACTCCACATTTTCAAGAATAGTTATTAACTAATACAGTCACAAGAAGGCCTGATTGTAGTCAAATATTATACAATGTTTTACAATGCAGCTTCAGATTTAAGCATCCCTTACAAAATGATTTACTCACTTAAAAGAAGCCAATTTGTGGAAAAAAACAAGCAAAACATAAGCCTCTTTCTCTCTTCAATGCCAATAATCACATTTATTGCTTATTCCCCCTATGTCCTGCATAGTCCATTACATTTATTGACTTGTTGGTGTGTTGTAGCACCTTGTGGTGGGTTATTAGGTGTCAGTCCCTGGTGCCTGCCAGTCCAAAGTGAGGGAGCTGCCCGAGCTCGTGTCGTCACAGCAGTCCTCAGCGTCAGAGAAGGACGACATGTAGTGGAGGCCGGTCACTCTGTGGTAACCTCCACGTAGAACCTGTGGGTAGGTGGAGAGCTCCATCGCCCTGCGACCGCTCCTGCTCACCCTCACGGTCCACATGTCCACTAGCTGGGTGCACATGGCACAGCCCATCGTTTGTGTGTGTGTGTGTGTAAACAGGTCAGGACAATACAGGTGTAAACAGTCTTTATGTGATCATGTGGGTGACTGCGCACATCACTATTGATTCACCAAACTACCTTATACAAGTTGCATTTTGAAAGTGAATATGTAAGCATTTAAATAGATTTAAACATAGATTAGAAATGTATTTACACTCACTGAGATCTAATATTTCAACCTACATTTAACAGTCCAGTATACAGTTTTTAATATGTCATATTGTACATATTGAATCTTATAATTGCATTTTATTGCATGGTATATGTTGTTTAAAGCTGTAATAATCATTGTATAACATGATGACGATTATATTGTTTAAATATATACAGCTAATTATAAAACAAGATGGCCATTATATTACGCAAATATTCAGAAAACATGCGTTACATTTGCTTGCTCAGCAAACACGTGAACTGATCAAATGTATTTGATCAGGAAAATAGTCAGTGTTGTCTCTGCAGTGGAAAACAGATTTAGTGAAGATGGTTCTCTTCTAATAAGTGAATGTATTCTTCACTGATTAAAGGCTTACAGCAGGGGAAATATAGACACGCAAGAAAGGTAGCACAAATCAAAGACTGCAGCTATTTGATCACGTTCCCTCTGGTTTATAGCAAGCAGGAACCCACATCAGAAACATATCCAGCCCTGCCTGCAGGGTTACCATGAGGTCAGACAGAGGTGTTCTCCGTCTCCAACTGCTGCCAATATGTAAATATTTACAGCATTCACTTTTGCAAAAGCATTCAGAACGCTTTCACAGACAGAGAGGAGGATGAATCAGTGTGCTACAAGTCACAACTCGGCCTGTGACTGGCCTCTTTAATGACACTGCAGCATTTGGATTTGGGCTTCAGCTGGGTGCAGGATCATCACTTGGTGTGCTCATGCTGGAGCTCTCACAGATGAATTGTTTCCTGTGTTGTATAGGATATTTCTCTATTCAGCTGGAGAAAGCACTGCTGTATAATGAGATCCCTGAGGAGAGAAATGAAGGTGTGTTATAGGAAGAGACAAATGAAAGAACAAAACTTTGCCTACACAGTAAATATAGACAGGAAAGCAGCTCTAATCTAATGCATGCATGCGGAATAAAATAACAAAACTGTTCAAGTAAAACCAATAAAATAGATTTTAAAAATGTATAAGACATTCGGGACAAAACCAGAGCCAAGCTTTAGTGGAGGCTTTAAGTTCGAAGATATCAACAATTTGACATGTTCTAGATCTCTATTATCTAGACTATTTTTACAGCCTGGAGAAAAAGATTAAGGCTTTATGTCGGGAATTGCATCAGAGAGATGGCAAAATCATCTTAAACTAAAGGATAGGGACTTTTAAAGAGACACAACATGTTCTGTCTCTCTGTTCTCTCTGGGATTTCTAAATCATCTGGTACTGATTTTGTACAACTCTTGAGGCATACCTCTATTTTGACTTCCAGCCAAAATAACCACACACCTACAGGCTTGCTTGGAGCAGAGTA